GAGGAAGAGCAGGTTAGAAATAGGGCAGTAATGACTGGGGTTTGAGGGATCTAGGGAGGGTTTTTTTCAGGAGAGGGGTGATGACAGCAGTTTTGAGGGAGGCAGGGACTGATCTGGAGGAGAGGGACTGGTTGATAAAGTCAGTCAGTAGTGGGCAGAGGAGGGGGAGCTGTGTGACCAGTAAGTTGGTGGGGAGGGGGTTGAGGCAGCAGGTGGTGGGTTTCATGGAGGTGATGGTGGGTGAGAGGGAGGAGGGAGAGATGGGGAGGAAAGAATGTAGAAAGGGTGTGGTGGTAGGAGCAGATGATGAGGAAGGTGAGGAGGGCAGAGAGGGCGTGGTGGTGGGTGACAAGGTGCAGGTGGATGAGGCTGCCTGGCAGATGTTCAGTATTTTAGTTGAAAAGAAGTCCATGACCTCCTCGCACTTGGCATTTGATACGAAGATTGAGGAGGCCTGAGGGGTAGGTGAGTTTATATGGAGGGTAAGGTTTAGGGAGGAGAGGACGACAGTGAAATCAGCAGAAGTGGTGCAGGGGGAGTCTAGGTGGAGGTTGAAATCGCCCATTATGAGTAGGCGTTCGGAGCAAAGGGACAGGGAAGAGAGGAGAGTAGAGATGTCTGTGTGGAAGGAGCCGGGGGGCAGTAAACAAGGAAGATTTTCAAAGGGAGAGAAGGGTGGAATAGGGTGAGGTGCTCGAAGGAGGGGAAGCAGCCAGAGAAGTAGAGGGTGAGACCAATAATATAATAATAATAATAATCCTTGCATTTGATATAGCGCTTTTCACATTGTCTAGACGTCCCAAAGCGCTTCACAGAATATACTGTAAAGTGAATTGACTGTATATTTGTGGGCGAACGCGGCACCAATTGTGCACAGCAGTGTCCCACAAACAGTCATGGATTGAAAATGACCAATTTATTATTATGTTTTTTGGAGGGATTATTATTAGGCGTGTGGAGTAAGGAAACTTGCCCAAGGGTTCGCCCTGCCTGGAATTGAACTCAGGTCTCTCGCTTGCAAAGTGAGTGCTCTAACCATTGAGCTACAAGACTTCACCAAGGGAGGCTTTGGAATTGAAGGCCACACCGCCACCACGTTGGTTTGGATGGGGGGGTGTGGTGGAAGGTGTAGCCTGGAGAGGAGACTTCCACTAGGGGGACGGGGTCATTTGGAGAGAGCCAGGTTTTGGTGAGCCCAAGAGCTACCGACCCACCTGCCAGAGGAAACAGTTTCTCCCTATTTACTTTATCAAAACCCCTCAGAATTTTGAACACCTCTATTAAATCTCCCCTTAACCCTCTCTGCTCTAATAATAATAATAATAATAATAATCCTTGCATTTGATATAGCGCTTTTCACGTCAGGAGGACGTCCCAAAGCGCTTCACAGAACACACTGTAAAGTGAATTGACTATATATTTGTGGGCGAACGCGGCAGCCAATTGCGCACAGCAATGTCCCACAAACAGTCGTAGATTGAAAATGACCAATTTATTATTGTTTTTGGTTTTTGGAGGGATTATTATTAGGCGTGTGGAGTAAGGAAACTAAGGAGAACAATCCCAGTTTCTCTAGTCTCTCCACATAAGTGAAGTCCCTTATCCCTGGTATAATTCTGATAAATCTTCTTTTCACCATCTCCAAGCACTTGATATCCTTCATAAAGTGTGGTGCCCAGAACTGGACACAATACTCCAGCTGAGGCCTAACCAGTGATTTAGAAAGGTCTAGCATAACTTGTTGGAACTCACTACCCAAAAGGCTGTTGACGCTCAGTCCTTCAACATATTCAAGACTGAGATAGGTATGTTTCTTATTGCAAAAGGGATTAAGGATATGGGGATAAGGCAGAGTTATGGTATTAGCTGAAGTTAGATTAGAAGATCAGCCATGATTGAATGGCGGGGCAAGCTCGAAGGTCCGAATGGCCTACTCCTGCTCCTACATGTTATGTTAAGTTATCTTTTTCAACAGCTTTGCCTACTTGTCCTACCACTTTCAAAGATTTGTGTATCTGGACCTCCAGGTCTCTCTGTATCCTCACCCCTTTTAAAACTGTACCATTAGTCCTCTATCCTCACATCAAACGCCAAGTTCCCAGACTTCTTCGCCTCAAAGATTGAAAACATCCACTTGGCTGCATCGTCCTGCCCCCCCTGTCCCCTTCCCCCTGACCTAGACCATCCACATGGCCTTCTCCCTCTGCCACAATTCCTTACACTCCTTTGCCCCCATTTATCCATTCTCCCTCTCAACCACAATCACCCGCATGAAGTTCATCACCTGCTGCCTCGAACCCCTCCCCACCCAGCTGCTGGTCACTCAACTCCCCCTCCTCTTCCCCCTGCTGGCCAACACAATCAGTCTCTCTCCTCAGGTTCTGTTCCACTCCCCCTGAAAACCGCTGTTATAAAAATAATCCTTGCATTTGATATAATGGCTTATCATATCTTCTAGATGTCTCAAAGCACTTCACAGAATATACTCTAAAGTGAATTGACTANTTTTTTTGGAAGGTATCATTACCCTGAAAAATCGATCCACTGATTGACTAACATCCGGGTTCCTACCTAGTGCTAGGTAAACAGAGGCATGTGGAATACAACAACAACAAAATTACATTTGTAAAGCGCCTTTGACGTCCCAAGGCACTGAACAGTCAGGGATCAGGACCCAAGCATGGGGCATGCCGGAGCCTGCTGAACGGAGGGAGTGGACAGGTTGATAGGGGGTTAGCAGGTCAGAGAGCTAGGAGGGCAAAGCTGTGGAGGGCCTTGAAAGTAAAAACAAGGATTTTGAATTCTATCCTCTGAGGGATGGGGAGCTGAGCGAGGGTGGGGGTGATGTGGTCAGAAGCTAGGTAGCGGAGAGGACTCGAGCTGCAGAGTTCTGGATGATCTGAGTAAGGAAACTTGCCCAAAGTTTCGCCCTGCCGGGAATCTAACTCAGGTATCTCACTTGCGAGGCAAGTGCTCTAACCACAGAGCTACAGTACTCCACAAAGTTATCACAGCCCTCCTCAAAAAACCCACTCTGGATCTCCATAACCTCTCACACTACCGTCCCATTTCTAAGCTGCCCTTCCTTGCCAAAGTCCTGGAATGCATTGTTGCAAGTCTTCTTTGGTCACACCTCTCCCTCCTCTCCCTTCACTCTCTCCACTCCAAGCCCTTGCAGTCTGGTTTTCGCCCTGCTCACAACACAGAGACAGTTCTTGACAAAGTCACAAATGACTTCCTCTCTATCTGTAATCAGGAATCCCTCTGCCTCCTCCTCCTGGATCTCTCTGCCACGTTCAATGCAGTCAACCATGCCATCCTCCTCTATCGCCTCTCCTCCCTCAACCACCTAAGTGGGACCGCACTTGCATTCTGAGCACGGTTACTTAACCAACTGCCTCCACTTCATCTCAGCAAATGGTTTCTCCTCCTACCCCCGCCCAGTCACTTGCGGGGTACCCCAGAGCTCCATCCTTGGCCCTCTTCTTTTCCACATTATATGCTTCCTCTTGGCGAAGTCATCCGCAAACAAGGGGTAAACTTCCACACATATGCGGATGACATACAACTCTGCTTTGCCTCCTCCAGTATCGACTCCAGGTCTGCCGAGTTCTATCAGCTTGTCTGGCAGACATAAGGGCCTGGATGAGTGCAACCATCCTGCAGCTAAATGTGGACAAGACAGAAGCCATACTCCTTGGCTACTGTCAACGTCTTAACTCCTGCGGATCTGAATCCCTCAACCTCCCTGGGCTCTCCCTCAGACTCACCATTGGAGCTCACGTGTTCAGCCAATAAGTTCCAAAACTCTGGAATAATCTCCCTTAATCCCTCCGCCTTGACCCCCTCCCCCTTTTCAAGTCCCGCCTGAAAACCTTCTTTTCAACTGTGTTTATGGTCAACTCCACATCCCCGGCTCGGAGTCAGACTCCACCACTGTTAAGCGTTCTGAGATGCTACCCTGCGTGGAAGGTGCTATATAAGTGCAAGTTGTTGTTATATTGCCTCTTCTCATTCATCCTCCCAAAATGCATCACTTCACTGCATTAAATTTCAACTGCCTTGTGTCTGCCCATTTCACCAGTCTGTCTATGTTCTCCTACAGTCTGCTGCCATCCTCCTCACTGTTTACTACGTTCCCAAGTTTTGTGTCACCTAAGAACTTTAAAACTTTGCTCCGTATACCCAAGTCCAGGTTATTAAATATATGTCAACTTTGCAGTGGTCCTAATATCCATCCCTTGGGAAGACCAATGTATACCTCCCTCCAAAAAAAAGAAAAAAAGCTCCCCACTCTCTGCTTTCCACCTCCCAGCCAATTTCAAATCCATGCTGACAAGGGTTTCCATTTTGTAACATTTATCCAGTGCCTTTTGAAAGTCCGTATACACAACATCAACTGCACTACCTTCATCAATCCTCTCCATTACTTCACTGAAGAACTCAAAGTTTGTCCGGCATGATTTGCCTTTAACAAATCTATGTTGGCTGTCATTTATTAACAGAGGTTTTTCAAAGTGAAAATTAATTTTGTCCCAGGTTATGGTCTCTAAGAAGTTTCCCCACCACTGACTTTAGGCTGACTGACCTGCAGTTAACGGGTTCATTCCTCTCCCCTTCCCTCAGCAATCTAGGATACATCCCATCCCAAGTGATTTTTCTACTTTGAGCGCTGCCAACCTTTTAATGTTCTCAAATTCATCAGAGAGCCTTCCACAGAGTTAATAAATGGGCAGTATGTCAATTCCTTTTGTCGAGAATCACGATTAATTTGGAGAAATGTTGCCATGTCGTTAACTGTGGGACTTTATATGAATAGGAATGAACCTCAACAATTCTTCTCACCCTCTACCATCACAGAACTCCCCACCAAACCCCCCAGCCCCCACACCCTCTGTGATATCACAGGCCTTACACCCACTCTCTGGCACCACAGACCCTCCCCCCACAGCCTTTCCGACAACTCCAAAAGTATTTAGCTCTAAGTCAGACATTTATTTGCAAATATCTTTATTGATGCTTTTTTCTGATTCAAAAGTAGCTTATAGCATGCAATAGAAGCAGTAATTCATTGGGAACAATTTGATTGTGTTTTCATGCAAATGTTGGCTAAAAGCATTTTGTAGACTCTAATGGCGCATTGAAAATGATAAGAATTAAGAATTTAAGTTGATAATTGGTGAAATGCAAAAATGGAAAATAAAGCAAGTTCAGTTGCATCTGAAACAGGTGTTACTTATTCCATTCACAATTTTTACACGTGCAGGACTTGATATCTGTGTATTTGTAGGCCACGATACCTCCATCTTCACACTTAAGCTTCACTAACTTTTCTTCAGTTTTCCATTCACGACAACACTGGCACTCAATGCTCAATTTGTCTTCATGAAAGTCAAATCTATAAAAATAATCATATTATCAGTTAAGAGCAGAGGAAATGACCATTTGCAATTTTTGGTAGGTTGGGAATAAATGCAGCACCATTGGAAAGGACAATCTTATTACACATTATTTAATGGAATATTGCTTTCTATATAGTAGCTTGACACTGAGGGGTTAATGCAAATTTGCAGTTATAGCAGAGAATGTGCATTTAGAAAAATAATTCAGACTCCAGCTAAGAGACAAACAAGATGCTTTTCATTGAGAAATAAAGCAATCTAAAACCTATAGCTACTACCTCAAATTTTGGGAATTTGCACCCACACATGTACTTGGCACATGTACAATAAAAATCAGATGATAGCTTTCTATTATTATAAAGACATAAAGTGCTTTTAAATGCACTTTACCGGAACGGAGCATCACTAAGCAAGCTGGGAAGGGGAGCAAGAGGAACACGACCAAAAGCATAGTTGAAAAAGTAGGTTTTTAGAAGGATTTTGAAAATAGGGAGAGGAAGTGCAAGGCAGAATGATAGGGGTGTGTTCCAGACCACAAGGTGATAGTGAGTGAAAGCTCCTTGATGAAGTGGAGGGAGCAAATGCCCAGAAGTTATGCACTTGTGCCCACTAAACAGGCAGTCAGTAACAAGACAAGAATTTCCATCTCATAACTGATAGATTCAAATCCAAATACAAAAAGTGAAAGGTGCTTTGCATACCTATTATGTTATGCAGGCTATTTACATTTATTTTGCTTATCTAAAAGAGAAAAGCTAAACTTACTTAGTCACTGATGAGCAATGTCCTTCACATTCTTTCACTTCAAAAGTTCCTTCACAATTTCCCCTTTTGACTGTTTTACTGATGGAATTGGGTTTGCACTGAGTTACTATGAGAAAAAATAAATTCCATCAAAGTTAGAAATAAGCTTGTCATTTCTCAGTGAATCTTCAAGGTGCATGCAAATACATTTTATATCCCTAAATCTTGGTATCCCTAAATTCCTAAATCTCCACCCCTAGTTCCTGTTGAATTGAGAACCTGTCCATTTCTTTACAAATCCTTCAATAAATTCTGAATTCATTACGCTATGTCTATTCTATCAGTAACAACCTGCAAAGCAGTTTTGCTTTGGTTATATTAATTTCAGGATTTCCTTCACATAGAACATTGCTGCCTAGTTTTGTTATATTATTTCACCTAAAATAATTCCACATTCATCTTACTTATGCGTGTTTACTGCTTTTTATGATTGATGCAACAAATACTATTTTGCAAGGGCCTCCACTCAAAATCTTTCCCAGGAGCTATTTGATCAAAATAATGTATTGATACAAAATATTAATCCTTGTACTTGATATAGCACCTGATCAAGTCAACAAACATGTAAAAGCACTTCCCAGGATTTACTGTAGAGTGTAATGTGGAGTCCTGTAGCTCAGTGGTTAGAGCACTCGCTTTGCAAGCGAGAGACCTGAGCTCAATTCCAGGCAGGGCGAAACCTTGGGCAAGTTTCCTTACTCCACACGCCTAATAATAATCCCTCCAAAACCAAAAACAATAATAAATTGGTCATTTTCAATCTACGACTGTTTGTGGGACATTGCTGTGCGCAATTGGCTGCCGCGTTTGCCCACAAATATACAGTCAATTCACTTTACAGTATATTCTGTGAAGCGCTTTGGGACGTCCTCCCGACGTGAAAAGCGCTATATCAAATGCAAGGATTATTATTATTATTATTATTATAATGTTGGTCTATTTGTAGACAAACAATTTGTACACAGAAATGTCCCACATATAATATGAGTGATCAATGTGAGTGATCAATTTTATCTGGGGATTGCTGGCCAGAACACAGGGAGAAATTCCCTTCTCTTTTAAGAATTGTGCCAAGGGATCTTTAATGTCTACTTGACCAGGCAGATGGATTAATATCTCAACCGAAGGATGGCAACTCCAACAATACTCCACTCCCCCAGCAATAAATTGGAACATCAGCCTTGACTGTGATCTCAAACTCCTAACGTAGATCTTGAAACCTCAATCTCCTGATTCAGAGACAAGAAAGACTGTTACCAGTTGAGACAGGCTGACCCAATATATTAGTTACTCAATCATTTTATTAAATTTATATCTGTACCACATAGGTGGAACATTTGTCTTCAAATTAGGGGTAATAACTAGCAGAAATTTTTGAAACACATTTCAACAGCTGAGAATTTTTTTTTAAATCACAAAAAGGGTTTGAAAATGAGTCTGCCCATAAATGTTTTCTGGACTTTTTTTCTAATCTCTGTTTAAACTGTCATTAACTACACACAAGTGAATATGTATTTATATTCATTGCATTGTTGACTTTGTTATTAATAATAATTAATAATGTAATGAAAAAAATCACTATAAGTATATAAGCAGTAAGTGATTACCGTTTTTCCTGCATTCAAAACAGCAAGGATTGATGTATATTCTTTGATCCTGTAAAGGAGTTAATATGAAATTGTTTGTTTGGAATATGTTATTACTTAAGATGTAAAAGGATTGGAAAAGTACATAATGTAATACAAAATAAATTGTGATCATTACAAACCTCAGGGCAAGTTTCATTTCTCGAGCAGGTCATCTTTGTCGTAAGAACAGTTGTATTACTGCATGTATATGAGATACATGGATCTTGTGGATTATCCCAGTTATCTCCATCCTGGAAACAAAACCAATCAAATCAAACTGATTTACTAACATCAGGAAGATGTAGACTGTAAGTTATGTTTTTGACATTGGTACAAAGTTGTTTCCTCTCTATTTATTCCATATTTCTTCTTTGAACTGCTGTAGCTTTCTATTCACACCTTCCCAAGTCATTATCTCGCCTTTCAACAGTTCCTCTCCCATTAGATTCTATTTACCTTTCTTTTAGTCCTCTTCCTGAACCAGTGCCATTATGTGTTTCTATCTAGGCAACTAGAGCTAAAAATATTGTTCAAACAATTTGAGTAGTTTCTTGATGGGAATAAGTCACTTACACAGTGCTCTGTAATAAATGTTGGTCTCCTAGTCTGTTGCCACTATGTCTTTTTTGAGTCAAAAAGAAACGTACTTTCACTAATCCATTGGAGAAATGTAGTTTGATTGTTCTTGAAATAGCAGGATTGACGGAAATAAAAAACTGTTTGATACCTTTTTTAGGCCATATAAAAACCATCAGGTTATTAGTCTGAACAGCATAAAGTTATAACATAGCAAAATTTAATTCACGGGCATCTTATTACTATTATTAATAATAACTTATTGTTTAAACACTCACCTTTTTAGGTTGTCCTAAATAGTCCTGGCAAACTGCAGAAAATAAAGTCACACAATTACTGTAGGTCTAATATCTCTACATTATGCTTAATACCAATGTATTACAGTATATGTTCATTTATAACAGCTGTTTCCTGTGTTAGGTGGACAGGCTAATTTTATTTTCTCCACCTCTGATAATTACAATATTTTACAGACATGTATCATTCGGTGATATAGTCAACGATGAAGCATAATAACTGGTAAAATATTGCCAGGTTTAATGGCATCAAGTCACAAAAAACTGAAACATCTTATCAGGATTCTGTAACTCCCAGGTGTACTATTTGTTATGTTATATTTCTTGCCTCAAAATATCACCGTATGTGGAAGATGTACATTGTACATTGCTATTCAATGCAATCCCAGCCCTCAGATGGACGGCAGTGGGAGGGGGGGGCAGCCTGTGGGGGGGGGCGGCCTGTGGGGGGAGCGGCGGCCTGTGTGGGGGGGGCAGCCTGTGTGGGTGGGGCAGCCTGTGGGGAGTGGGGGGGGTGGCCTGTGGGGAGTGGGGGGGTGGCCTGTGGGGAGGGGGGGGTGGCCTGTGGGGAGGGGGGGGGCGGCCTGTGGGGAGGGGGGGGGCGGCCTGTGGGGAGGGGGGGGGGGGGGGGGGGGGGGGGCGGCCTGTGGGGAGGGGGGGGCGGCCTGTGGGGAGGGGGGGGCGGCCTGTGGGGAGGGGGGGGCGGCCTGTGGGGAGGGGGGGGCGGCCTGTGGGGAGGTGGGGGGGCGGCCTGTGGGGAGGTGGGGGGGCGGCCTGTGGGGAGGGGGGGGGCGGCCTGTGGGGAGGGGGGGGCGGCCTGTGGGGAGGGGGGGGCGGCCTGTGGGGAGGGGGGGGCGGCCTGTGGGGGGCGGCCTGTGGGGAGGGGGGGGCGCCCTGTGGGGAGGGGGGGCGGCCTGTGGGGGGTGGGGGGGCGGCCTGTGGGGGGTGGGGGGGCGGCCTGTGGGGTGGGGGGGCGGCCTGTGGGGTGGGGGGGCGGCCTCTGACTATAATAATAATAATAATAATCCTTGCATTTGATATAGCGCTTTTCACGTCGGGAGGACGTCCCAAAGCGCTTCACAGAACACACTGTAAAGTGAATTGACTGTATATTTGTGGGCGAACGCGGCAGCCAATTGCGCACAGCAATGTCCCACAAACAGTCGTAGATTGAAAATGACCAATTAATTATTGTTTTTAGTTTTTGGAGGGATTATTATTAGGCGTGTGGAGTAAGGAAACTTGCCCAAGGTTTCGCCCTGCCTGGAATTGAACTCAGGTCTCTCTCTCTATCTCTCTCTCTCAGACACTTTCTCAATCTGCCCTTTTGGACATGACTTGGTTACTGAGGATAAGCAAAATTGGTTATCCAATAGAATCGAGAAATTATATTTTGCAACTTTTTCTTCCACAAGAATGTATGTGCAATTTTCATAGAAGTCATATTCCAGACCACTAAAAGTCCGATAGTGTGGGTTTCCCCATACTTGACATTCACCTAAAAAAAAAAACATTTCAAAATTGTGGGGAACAACATGACTACAGTTTCCATCAATGTAAGAATAGTATAATCTGAATAGACAGATGATACTAACAGTCACATTCCCATTTCTCACAGCACCCATCTTCAGTTGGAACTTTCACAGGCCTTATACCATGCCTACACGTGGGTTTAGTCAGTTCTGAACAGTTCTTCCGCTTGTGAATTTTCTCTTCTAAACAAACCATGCTATAGCAGCCTTCGGTCCACTTGTCATTGCACTAGAGAAAAAAAATTAAATGTTCAACCATTATTAAGCTTATAAATTATGGTTAATGAGGTAAATGTTTAGAGATGACTTGATCAAATATCAAGCAATTGAGCTATCAGAAAGTCCACCCATCCCTGGTGCTGAATTGTTTCTTTTTTTAATCCTTGATCAGATTTCAGTGACTAAAGGGATCTAACAAAGTGGTAGTTCATGACAGGATTCACTAATAGCAACCCGGAGTCAGTAAAGAGAAATCCAAAATATCCAGTAGCCAATCAAACCAGGTGTCGGCCTTGCTCAGTTGGTAGCACTGACTCTCAGTCAGAAGGTTGTGGGTTCAAGCCGCACATCAGGACTATGAGCTCAGAGTTGAGGCTGACACTACAATACAGTGCTGCATTGTGGTTGCTGCTGTCCTTCAGGTGAGATCCCAACTGCCTGTTCAATCAGATGTTAAAGATCACATGTTGCTCTTTGAAAAGAGAAGGGGGATTCTCCCAGTGTACTGGCAACCTGATGACGTGATAAAGCGCTATATCAAATACCAGGATTATTATTCATTATAGACCCCGTGACATCCTTCTGGTACTTCAGTGCAAGGATTCCATCAGTTGGCCATGAAGCCCTACTGGTTACCATCATGATTCTCTGTTAGTAACCATTATTGAATCATGTTGCAAACTGATTTTTTCCACCCTAATATTTCTGGATATTTATAGCTACTAAAGGACAAGAAAATCTTTATCCCAGCTTCATACATGCAATATAATTGCATTATTTTCTCTGTAATTTGTTTTACTTCTGACTGTAACGCAAAAATTACAGAATATCAAAAAAGAACAATGACCCTTTTTTATGCTGAAAAGAATGAGCGTTAGTTCAATATCATGCAAAGTTACGATAAAGATGATTTTGCTTACTTTTCTCTCTGGGTTTGATTTGCAAACACACGTTTTATCTAATGGTTTCTCTGTGATAGGAATAATTATCTTCTCTGTCACTCTGGAAGTGGTTGTTATTCCTGGTTCACAGCACACTCTAAATTTGTAGTCCAAACACATTAAGCGATTGGCAACGTTCAAGCTATTATAACTGCACTTCAGGCCTCTGTTTATATCACAAGTAACGTTGTCCTTTGTTTCACTTAAAGGTTGATTTGGAAACTTGACAGCTTTACACTCGATGTTAGTTATTTCATGGGACAAATCACACAAAGTGGAATCTGTTGGGTTCAAGAATTCGTCATCGTCTTGTTTGATAGGAGATGGTTGATTTTTATTAATCCATTTGGACCATTGACCACCACAGTATGCTTCTGTAAAGAGAAAGACTTATCAACTCAGTTTAAAATAAATATTCTTAAAAATGTTGATGTATATTTAGTGTTTGAGTAGGTTAAGCATACTGCCCATTTACCTCCAGTACCTTGGTCTGAATCTAGCCTGACTAAGAAGTCCTAGTTCTTCTTTGTAAAGATCTCAAGTGCAGTAAGCACAGGCAAACTTAATACAAATCTTGGCAGGCAGTAATTTTGAGGAGTCCAAAAACACAATATTCACAACAGGATTCAGAAAGATTTTTAAATATAGAATCCTGCTGGCGACCAGTTGTGTGTTATGCTGATCCATGGATGAATCATCCACTGCTTTACCCTAATTTTGCATAATGATTAAGCCAGAAGTTTAAATGCTACCATTACTGTTCCCTACAGTAGGAAATTTGCCTACAAATACACAGTAACTACACTTTACAGTAAATCCTGTGACCCGCTTTGAGACGTTACCACAATATTATAAGGTATTATATCAAATGCAAAGATTATTACTGTGATTCCCATTTGTGCAAAGGAGCAATTGCATGCAGCTAAAAATAAGATACTGGTTTAACTTAAATGCAAGGATTATTAGGGTTAATTAAGTCAACCAGTATCATGTGAAGCAGCGTTAAAAATGCAAGCTCTGGAGTCAATAGAAAAATAAATCAAGGCCAGCGCTAAAAATGTTTGCAAACAGATTTTGGACAAAATCCTGTCAGCAGTCAAAGGTTTGAATCATACAGTTAAGTAGTCAGAATATTTTTCCAATGATAATTGTTTGAATGTTGTATTCATATCAGAAAGTAAAATGAAATCCTTGATTTAATGCTGTTGCATCATACTTTTAGATAAGGTTTGTAAAATCGCTAGCCCCCAAGATAATGTAGTCCACCAAACCCTTGTTGTTAACAATAGCAATCATGTCATTATGTCTTTAGAACGGTAATTGGATCAGCCTGCTGATTAATAATAATAATCTTTGTACTTGATATAACGCCTTATCACGTCTGCGAAGCGCTTCAAAGAATAAACTGTGAATTGAATTGACTGTATATTTTGTGGACGAAATGCAACAACCAATTCTGTGGGACACAGAAGTGTCCCACAAACAGTCATGGATTGAGTGACCAAATAATTGTTTAAGGGAATATTACTCCTGGGAAAGCGATGCACCAACTGACTAACGATAACAAATTACATTTGTAGAGCGCCGTTCACATCAGGAGGACGTCCCAAGGCACTGGACAGTCAAGGATCCGCACCTAAGCTGGTGCTTAGGATCAGGAAGGGTGGACGGTGGGGAGTTAGGGGTAGGAGAGTGATCGAAGGCACAGTCTTGAGATGGGTCTTGAAGGAGGCAAAGGAGGGGGGCGGGGAGGAGTGATTGTAGGATGGGGTTCCAGAGGCTTCTTACTGCTAGGTAAATAGGTGTATGGATTAAGGAAACTTGCCCAATGTTTCGCCCTGTCCAGAATCAAACCCAGGTACTCTTGCTTGCGAGGTGAGTGCTCTAACCACTAAGCTACAGGACTCGTAATGCCTGCCAAGAACTGTATTGAGTTTGCTTGTGCTTATTTCACTTAAGATCTACAAAGAATGGTTATATGCTGCTCTAATGTTAATAAGTGTTATTTTTAAGCATGGATTTACAGAGGTACTCCTTAGATTTTGCTCTTCTGCACTGAATCCACGAACAAGATTAATTCCACCCATGTCATTTTAATTTCAGCAATGAATTAATTTCTATTGGCATTGCTATTATACTTGAAAAGTGTTTGTTTACCAGCATTGGTGCTGGTGATCGTTGTCTCAGTCGAGGATCGTTCTAAAGATAAAAAGGCAAGGAAATTGCACTATTAAATATCATTATTGCAGATATAACAGGAAAACATAAAATACTCCTAAAAGTACCTGATTCTGCTTGATATAGTTCATCAGAGTAAGTAATTATGTTTAATTTGGATTAACAGACTGGATTTTTCTCTAAGGGTTAAAAGGTTGAAAGTTTAAAAGGGAGCTGAGTGTTGCCGTGCAGCTTTCAGGAATGTTGGAATGTGTGAGAAAACAAAGGCAAGTAATCGTCTACAGTTGGAAATGTTTTTGATTTCGCACCCTGAATCCTTTTTGACCATGCTTACGGCCACCCCCCCCACCCCCGACTCGGAGGCAGGCTCTGACACTGTTAAGCGCCCTGAGACACTACCTGCGTGGAGGGCGCTATATAAGTGCAAGTTGTTGTTGAACTCTAATGCTTGACACAAGAGAAACAAATAGCAACATGAGCTTTTGATTGGAAGACCAGTTGATACAACAACAACAACAACAACAACAAGATTCCATTTATAGAGCGCCTTTCACGTCAGGAGGACGTCCCAAGGCGCTGCACAGTTGGGTCATGACCCGAGCAGGGGGGAAATGGTCAGGGTGAGGGGAGGGAAGGGAGGGAGAGAGGAGGGGGGAAATGGTCAGGGTGAGGGGAGGGAAGGGAGGGAGCGAGGAGGAGGAAGAGAGTCGAGAGGGGAGCTGAAGGCACGGTCAAAGAGAATAAGAACAGTCTGAACTCTCTCTCTTTCTCCTAATCTCTTAATATTACCAACCCCCAAATTGAATCATGAAACAAATCAGAAGTTCAGGGCAAAACAGAGATCTTAGACCTATACTGTTACTATAAATATGTTCATTTGCATATTTAATTGGGTTGTTGAATCTCTAAATGCCAGGCAGGGGAGCTGATGCTTGACTGTCTTGGTACTTTGGAAGGTTGATCTTTTAAAAAACACAATCTGTTGTTAAAATAAATTCTGATTGCAAATAGGAGATTAATTTAGAGCTTCTGCAGTAAAGTAAAGCACTTTACTTTTAAATTTTCCACCAAAGTAACATACCAGATGTGTGGATGGTGGTAGAGCCAGTTGTAGTTGTTGTCACTGTTGTAGTTGATGGTTCTGAAAAACATTTGAATGATTCCATTAAATAATCTTGGAAGCAAAAATAGTGCGTGCAGTTAATTATACCCCCACCCCTCCCTTGAGCATATGCCTCTTCTCTTGGTACCCAGTCTCAAACTGGGAATTCCAAAAGCATTGATTGCCCTCTGGTACCCCATGTAAGATTACAGCAGGTTTTGGTATAAAAGAATAGAAAGCTAAGTATAGGTTAGATTAAGGATAATAGAGAAATTGGAGAATTAGGCTAACTTGATATAACTAGCAAGCTTTGTGCAGAACAGTGCCGAGCAGGCAAGAAAGAGAAAATCAGGTCTTTATCTGGCACAGCACATGAAAGGGAGATAACAGATACAGGAACTAGACAAAGACTAGGACACTGCAAATAAGATAAGTGGGTGTTGGGGAAAAACAAACTACATGAAAGGACTGATCACAAAGAAACGGATGTAGGAGTAAGGATCAAGGCAGGTATTGGAGGCAGAAGAATAGAAGAGAAAGATCAAATGAGGGATGTCACGTAGGCATGTGGCATTAGAAATATAAATACAACCTACATACAATAGTTAATTGGAGCATTCGTAGGAAAGGACAGCTGCATGCAGCTGGTGGTCAGCAGTGCACCCCAACATGATGGGATAATATCAGATTTGTTGTAACCTATTGTTTTAATGTGTTTAGCCGTATAAGATTTATGTGTGTTAACGCATTAACTTTGTATGGTGTTTGCTGAATACAATCCTATTAATTCATCATCAGGAATGGATTTGTAGACTCTCTGGCAAACTTACAGGCTCCAGCCCACACTGGAGAGGTAGTCCGCTTCATAGCAGGTACATCTATTTGCCAAAGCTCCTCACTAATCCAGCAGGTACTGAGTAAGCCCAGTACCTAGCGTTGGAGATAGATATCGAGAACATGAAGGTGGCTAGCATGTCACCAAGCTGTCCTGCTTAGATCTTCTCACTACACTGAAAGCAAATTTTCATCAGATAGCTGATGAGGGAACTCTAGGAGTCCAAGTTCATGAAAACAACAACAAAATTACATTTGTATAGCACCTTTCACATCGGGAGGACGTCCCAAGGCACTGGACAAACAGAGTTATGGACCCAAGCTGAGGGTTGGGGTGGGGGAGGGTGGAGGGCATGGGGGGAACCAGGAAGATCGAAAGCATGGTCGAAGAGAAGGGTAATGAGATGGGTCTTGAAGGTGGCAAAGGAGGGGGCGAGGCGGAGGAACTGCGGGATGGAGTTCCAGAGGGTGGGGGCAGAGTTGCGGAAGGCCAGCTTGGCAATAGTGGGGCGGGCGAGGGTCGTGAAGCAGACCGGAGCCCGCTGAGCGGAGGGAGCGAGCAGGATGGTAGGGGGTGAGGAGGTCACAGAGGTAGGGGGGAGAAAGACCGTGGAGGGCTTCGAAGATGAGGGCCAGGATCTTGAACTGTATCCTCCGTGTGATGGGAAGCCAATGGAGCAGGGCAAGGATACACATTCATATGAAAACACATTCATATATCCAGGGCTTGGCATCCACCCCAATCCACCCAAATTGGTATGCAGCGAGATAAGCAGCTCCTCCAAGTGCTGGAACCATCACTCAATGGGTAGGGATGTGGGCAGGAAAGTGTTGGCAATGCTCTAACACATTTCATGCTGAGCTGTGTTGTCCACCAGAATGCTTTCAGGGTATTCCAGGTACCTGCCATCCACCTGCTAGTGAGGGCTCAAACCCAAGTTTGTTGGATGTCAACTGACCAAACTTGTGGCAATCCCTCTGAAGTGGGGGGAGGGTGTTAAGAGGGATCTCCTTGGAGCTGAACTGGCTGGCAACAGAATGTCAGAATCAAGCCACCCCTCTGTGATGGTCTCGTTATTCATTCGTGAGGCAAGTGGGTTCACAGAAAATGCTTTCAATGGCAAAGTATGTGTTTTTAGTATGTTAAACTTCAGCCATACCCCAATGCACAATTTGGTATGCCCGGAGATTATTAGGCACAGGATCAAGCCAACCTGCATCTAATAATCTCAAGAATTAGGCAAGCAGGTTGCGTGGGTCAGGCGAAAGAGCAAAAGTATTCTTGAAGAATAAGAAATACGTACAAACTATTATTGCACTTTGAATTTCTAAAGCAATTAATATCTTTTTACAATCCTTTTTATAACTCTGAGGGTGTTTGCGTGTGTGAGAGAGACCGAAAGAATGAGTGTGTGTCTCTTTGTGTCTCTCCGATACTGTGGCATTGGCTGCATCCTCTTCTTCTGTGAAGACAGATGCAAAGTATTCATTCAGTACATCAGCCATTGATTGCCTCTGCCTCCACAAGAAGATTTCCTCTTTGGTCCCTAATTGGACCCACCCTACCTTTGACTAACCTTTCATTATTTATATGATTATTAAATACCTAAAGGTTCCCTTTTATGTTGCGCGCTAATATTTTCTCATACAATCTCTTTGCTTCTCTTATTTCCTTTCTCAGTTCTCCTCTGTATTTTCAATATTCTATTTGATTATCTTCTGTATTTTGGACCTGACATTTATCATAAACCTCCTTTTTCTGTTTTATTTGAATTCCAATTTCCTTATTCATCCAGGGAGGTTCGGATGCCCTACCTTTCCCCTGTATTTGTATTTGTTCTGTATTTGTTCTGTCCCAAACTATCTCCTCCCTGAAGGCTTCCCAATGCTTGTTGGCTGTTTTACCTGCCAGTCTTTTTTTCCAGTCCACCTTGGCTAGGTCCCTTTTTAACACACTGAAATTAGCACTCTTCCAGTTGAATATCTTCACCTTTGATTTCTCCTTGTCCCTTTGGATAAGTAATCTAAACCCAATAGTCACTGTTGTCCGGCCTGCTCCATGTCTCCCGCCCGACCCGCCCTACCATCAGTGGCTGAACTTTCAGCCTCTCTGCCTAAACACTCTGGAACTCAATCCCACAGTCCCTTTGCCTCGCTTCCTCCCTTGCCTCCTTCAAGTCCGGTCTCAAGACCCTTCTCTTCGATCGTGCCTTCAGTCACCCTCCCACCTCTTTGCCTTCCCTCACCCCTACCCCACCCCTCCCCCATACTTGGGTCCTGACCCCTGACTGTCCAGTGCCTTGGGACATCCTCCCAACATGAAGGAGTTCTATAAATATAATTTTGTTGTTGTTGTACAGATGCTCTCTTACTGAAACCTGCTCCACTTGCCCCATTTCATTCCCCAGAACTAGATCCAGCATTGCTTCCTTCCTTGTTGGACTGGAAACATACTGATCCAGAAATTTATCCTGCACACATTTCACAAATCCTTCCACCTCCTTGCCTATTTATTACACTGTTACTTTGCCAGTCTATCTCAGGATAAATCTTTGCAGATGATACTAAGCTAGGAAAAGTAGAAAACAGCGAGGAGGATAGTAGCAGACTCCAAGGGGACATAGACAAGACTGGTAAAATGGGCAGAAATGTGGCAAATGAAGTTTAATGTAGAGAAATGCAAAGTGATGCATTTTGGGAGGGAGTATGAGGAGAGGCAATATAAGCTGAAGGTACAACCTTAAAGGGGATGAACGAACTGAGAGACCAGGGTCCTTCAAGTCCGGTCTCAAGACCCTTCTCTTCGATCATGCCTTCAGTCACCCTCCCACCTCTTTGCCTTCCCTGGGCTATGTAATTTAATTTAAATGTAATTTATAGAGCTCCTTCATGCCACCTTTACATTTGTAAAGGTGGCAGGACAGGAAGATGGAGCTGTTTAAAAAGCTCCGAGGCTTTATAAATAGGGAAAAGAAAAAAGTCAGGAAGTTATGATGTATCTTTATAAAACATTGGTTAGGCCTCAGCTAGAGTACAATGTTCAGTTCTGGAAACCATACTTTACAATGGTGCCAAGAATGGTACCAAGAATGAGGGACTTTGGTTATCAGGAGAGGCTAGAGAAGCTAGATTATTCTTCTTGGAGCAGAGAAGGTTAAAAGGAGACGAATTTTCAAAATTATGAGGGAATTTGATAGAGTGAACAAGGAGAAATTATTTCCACTGGCAGGTAGGTCTGTAACCCGAAGACACCCATTTAAAACAGTTGTTAAAAGAAACGGATGAAGTGAGGAGAAATTTTTTCAACAGCGCGTTAATCGGATCTCGAATACATTGCCTGAAACGGCGGCGGAAGCCGATTCAATAACAACTTTTTAGAGAGCAGATAATTATTTGGGGTGGACAAGTTTTCAGGGCTATGAAGATACGCGCGGGGGAGTGGGAATTAATTGGATATCGCTTTTCTAAGAGCCCGCACAGACACAATGGGCTGAATGGCTTCCTTCTGTGCTGTATGATTTTATGATTCTACGAAAGAGAATGTATGTCTCTGTCTCTCGCGTACAAACAAGTGAATTGTTCAATCAGCAGATACTACAGGAACGGGCATTTATTTTAAGGGCCTTGACAAAAAAACTGCATTGGTTTCATATTTACCAGGAGTTGTGGTTGAAGATGTGGTTGTTGCGGTGGAAGTGGTCGTCACGGATGCAGTGGTTGAAGGGGTGGCCACAGGCACAGTGATCTCTGTTATTACTGTTGAAGACAACGGATACATACAAGGCATTATTGTCCATTGAATTTCTACAGCAATTAATATTTTTACCGGCCTTTTTACAATTCTGAGTGTGTGTGCGTGTTTGTTTGTGTGAGGGGAAACCGAGAGTGTGAATGTGTGCGTGTCTCTCTCTAACACTGCGCCTATCTTTATCCCATCTGTATCTCTTGCTACAATTTCTAAGTTGGAAAAATTACATCTCAGCTAACGCCGTGGGACTGCACGTATCTCAATCTTTTGCCAGAAGTGCAGCCTGACTTCAGTTCAGATGCAGGTGTGTGGAAAGTGGTTCACAACAATTTCACAGTGTTCAAGTTTATGTTATTTTAGACCTATTTAAAGACTCGTTACGCAAAATTCATTGAGTCCTAAAACATTAATTCGTACTTACCAGGAGTTGTGGGTGTAATGGTGCTGGTTGTAGGCAGACTGGTTGTTGTGGTTATAATAGTTGTTCGTTCGTTCTCGCAACAAAGTCTAATTTCGTAGTCTGCACACTCGGCGCCTCCTGCCGCCACTCTACATTTTAACCCTGTGTCTCTATCGCACGTTACATTGTCCCCTGTTTCACTGATTGGAATGTCCGGCAAATCGACTGAGCGACACTGAACATGACTTATTTCAGCAAAGTTAGAACACTCTGTCGTGCGAATGACATCCACTGGTTCAGAATCGCCCGGGTTGTTAGCAGACGGAGTATTCAAATTAATCCAGGCTGTCCAGACGCCATGACAATACAACCCTGTACAGGAAAAGAGAAAGATATTGTTCCATTTTAATTAAAGCATAGCGTACAGACAAGTGAATTGTTCAATGAGCAGATACTACAGGAACGGGCATTTATTTTAAGGGCCTTGACATTACAACTGCATTGGTTTCATATTTACCAGGAGTTGTCGTCACAGGTGCAATGGTTGAAGGAGTGGTCACAGGCACAGTGATCTCTGTTGAAGAACAGCAAATACATACAAACTATTATTGTCCATTGAATTTCTAAAGCAATTAGTTTGTTTTATAGTCATTTGTATAACTCTGAGGATGTGTGTCCGTGTGAGAGTGCGTGTGTGAGAGAAAGAGCGTGTGTGTCTCTCTTTAACACTGTACCTATCTTTATCCCATCTGTATCTCTTGCTACAATTTCGAAGTGGCGCAGTCAGGCTGTGTAAGCACTCTGAGACACTACCCTGCGTGGGGGGTGCTATGTAAGCGCAAGTTGTTGTTGTAAGTTGGAAAAATTACATCCCAGCTAACACCGTGGGAATACACGCATCTGAATATTTTGGCAAAATTCCATTACAACTATATTTATTTCATTTACCAGGACTTATGATGGAAAGTGTGGTTGTTTTTGAGGATTTGGTTGTTGCGGTTGAAGTGGTCGTCACGGATGCAGTGGTTGAAGGGGTGGCCACAGGCACAGTGATCTCTGTTATTACTGTTGAAGACAACGGATACATACAAGGCATTATTGTCCATTGAATTTCTACAGCAATTAATATTTTTACCGGCCTTTTTACAATTCTGAGTGTGTGTGCGTGTTTGTTTGTGTGAGGGGAAACCGAGAGTGTGAATGTGTGCGTGTCTCTCTCTAACACTGCGCCTATCTTTATCCCATCTGTATCTCTTGCTACAATTTCTAAGTTGGAAAAATTACATCTCAGCTAACGCCGTGGGACTGCACGTATCTCAATCTTTTGCCAGAAGTGCAGCCTGACTTCAGTTCAGATGCAGGTGTGTGGAAAGTGGTTCACAACAATTTCACAGTGTTCAAGTTTATGTTATTTTAGACCTATTTAAAGACTCGTTACGCAAAATTCATTGATTCCTAAAACATTAATTCGTACTTACCAGGAGTTGTGGGTGTAATGGTGCTGGTTGTAGGCAGACTGGTTGTTGTGGTTATAATAGTTGTTCGTTCGTTCTCGCAACAAAGTCTAATTTCGTAGTCTGCACACTCGGCGCCTCCTGCCGCCACTCTACATTTTAACCCTGTGTCTCTATCGCACGTTACATTGTCCCCTGTTTCACTGATTGGAATGTCCGGCAAATCGACTGAGCGACACTGAACATGACTTATTTCAGCAAAGTTAGAACACTCTGTCGTGCGAATGACATCCACTGGTTCAGAATCGCCCGGGTTGTTAGCAGACGGAGTATTCAAATTAATCCAGGCTGTCCAGACGCCATGACAATACAACCCTGTACAGGAAAAGAGAAAGATATTGTTCCATTTTAATTAAAGCATAGCGTACAGACAAGTGAATTGTTCAATGAGCAGATACTACAGGAACGGGCATTTATTTTAAGGGCCTTGACATTACAACTGCATTGGTTTCATATTTACCAGGAGTTGTCGTCACAGGTGCAATGGTTGAAGGGGTGATCTCTGTTGAAGAACAGCAAATACATACAAACTATTATTGTCCATTGAATTTCTAAAGCAATTAATTTGTTTTATAGTCATTTTTATAACTCTGAGGATGTGTGTCCGTGTGAGAGTGCGTGTGTGAGAGAAAGAGCGTGTGTGTCTCTCTTTAACACTGTACCTATCTTTATCCCATCTGTATCTCTTGCTACAATTTCGAAGTGGCGCAGTCAGGCTGTGTAAGCACTCTGAGACACTACCCTGCGTGGGGGGTGCTATGTAAGCGCAAGTTGTTGTTGTAAGATGGAAAAATTACATCCCAGCTAACACCGTGGGAATACACGCATCTGAATATTTTGGCAAAATTCCATTACAACTATATTTATTTCATTTACCAGGACTTATGATGGAAAGTGTGGTTGTTTTTGAGGATTTGGTTGTTGCGGTTGAAGTGGTCGTCACGGATGCAGTGGTTGAAGGGGTGGCCACAGGCACAGTGATCTCTGTTATTACTGTTGAAGACAACGGATACATACAAGGCATTATTGTCCATTAAATTTCTACAGCAATTAATATTTTTACCGGCCTTTTTACAATTCTGAGTGTGTGTGCGTGTTTGTTTGTGTGAGGGGAAACCGAGAGTGTGAATGTGTGCGTGTCTCTCTCTAACACTGCGCCTATCTTTATCCCATCTGTATCTCTTGCTACAATTTCTAAGTTGGAAAAATTACATCTCAGCTAACGCCGTGGGACTGCACGTATCTCAATCTTTTGCCAGAAGTGCAGCCTGACTTCAGTTCAGATGCAGGTGTGTGGAAAGTGGTTCACAACAATTTCACAGTGTTCAAGTTTATGTTATTTTAGACCTATTTAAAGACTCGTTACGCAAAATTCATTGATTCCTAAAACATTAATTCGTACTTACCAGGAGTTGTGGGTGTAATGGTGCTGGTTGTAGGCAGACTGGTTGTTGTGGTTATAATAGTTGTTCGTTCGTTCTCGCAACAAAGTCTAATTTCGTAGTCTGCACACTCGGCGCCTCCTGCCGCCACTCTACATTTTAACCCTGTGTCTCTATCGCACGTTACATTGTCCCCTGTTTCACTGATTGGAATGTCCGGCAAATCGACTGAGCGACACTGAACATGACTTATTTCAGCAAAGTTAGAACACTCTGTCGTGCGAATGACATCCACTGGTTCAGAATCGCCCGGGTTGTTAGCAGACGGAGTATTCAAATTAATCCAGGCTGTCCAGACGCCATGACAATACAACCCTGTACAGGAAAAGAGAAAGATATTGTTCCATTTTAATTAAAGCATAGCGTACAGACAAGTGAATTGTTCAATGAGCAGATACTACAGGAACGGGCATTTATTTTAAGGGCCTTGACATTACAACTGCATTGGTTTCATATTTACCAGGAGTTGTCGTCACAGGTGCAATGGTTGAAGGGTGGTCACAGGCACAGTGATCTCTGTTGAAGAACAGCAAATACATACAAACTATTATTGTCCATTGAATTTCTAAAGCAATTAGTTTGTTTTATAGTCATTTGTATAACTCTGAGGATGTGTGTCCGTGTGAGAGTGCGTGTGTGAGAGAAAGAGCGTGTGTGTCTCTCTTTAACACTGTACCTATCTTTATCCCATCTGTACCTCTTGCTACAATTTCGAAGTGGCGCAGTCAGGCTGTGTAAGCACTCTGAGACACTACCCTGCGTGGGGGGTGCTATGTAAGCGCAAGTTGTTGTTGTAAGTTGGAAAAATTACATCCCAGCTAACACCGTGGGAATACACGCATCTGAATATTTTGGCAAAATTCCATTACAACTATATTTATTTCATTTACCAGGACTTATGATGGAAAGTGTGGTTGTTTTTGAGGATTTGGTTGTTGCGGTTGAAGTGGTCGTCACGGATGCAGTGGTTGAAGGGGTGGCCACAGGCACAGTGATCTCTGTTATTACTGTTGAAGACAACGGATACATACAAGGCATTATTGTCCATTGAATTTCTACAGCAATTAATATTTTTACCGGCCTTTTTACAATTCTGAGTGTGTGTGCGTGTTTGTTTGTGTGAGGGGAAACCGAGAGTGTGAATGTGTGCGTGTCTCTCTCTAACACTGCGCCTATCTTTATCCCATCTGTATCTCTTGCTACAATTTCTAAGTTGGAAAAATTACATCTCAGCTAACGCCGTGGGACTGCACGTATCTCAATCTTTTGCCAGAAGTGCAGCCTGACTTCAGTTCAGATGCAGGTGTGTGGAAAGTGGTTCACAACAATTTCACAGTGTTCAAGTTTATGTTATTTTAGACCTATTTAAAGACTCGTTACGCAAAATTCATTGATTCCTAAAACATTAATTCGTACTTACCAGGAGTTGTGGGTGTAATGGTGCTGGTTGTAGGCAGACTGGTTGTTGTGGTTATAATAGTTGTTCGTTCGTTCTCGCAACAAAGTCTAATTTCGTAGTCTGCACACTCGGCGCCTCCTGCCGCCACTCTACATTTTAACCCTGTGTCTCTATCGCACGTTACATTGTCCCCTGTTTCACTGATTGGAATGTCCGGCAAATCGACTGAGCGACACTGAACATGACTTATTTCAGCAAAGTTAGAACACTCTGTCGTGCGAATGACATCCACTGGTTCAGAATCGCCCGGGTTGTTAGCAGACGGAGTATTCAAATTAATCCAGGCTGTCCAGACGCCATGACAATACAACCCTGTACAGGAAAAGAGAAAGATATTGTTCCATTTTAATTAAAGCATAGCGTACAGACAAGTGAATTGTTCAATGAGCAGATACTACAGGAACGGGCATTTATTTTAAGGGCCTTGACATTACAACTGCATTGGTTTCATATTTACCAGGAGTTGTCGTCACAGGTGCAATGGTTGAAGGGGTGATCTCTGTTGAAGAACAGCAAATACATACAAACTATTATTGTCCATTGAATTTCTAAAGCAATTAATTTGTTTTATAGTCATTTTTATAACTCTGAGGATGTGTGTCCGTGTGAGAGTGCGTGTGTGAGAGAAAGAGCGTGTGTGTCTCTCTTTAACACTGTACCTATCTTTATCCCATCTGTATCTCTTGCTACAATTTCGAAGTGGCGCAGTCAGGCTGTGTAAGCACTCTGAGACACTACCCTGCGTGGGGGGTGCTATGTAAGCGCAAGTTGTTGTTGTAAGTTGGAAAAATTACATCCCAGCTAACACCGTGGGAATACACGCATCTGAATATTTTGGCAAAATTCCATTACAACTATATTTATTTCATTTACCAGGACTTATGATGGAAAGTGTGGTTGTTTTTGAGGATTTGGTTGTTGCGGTTGAAGTGGTCGTCACGGATGCAGTGGTTGAAGGGGTGGCCACAGGCACAGTGATCTCTGTTATTACTGTTGAAGACAACGGATACATACAAGGCATTATTGTCCATTGAATTTCTACAGCAATTAATATTTTTACCGGCCTTTTTACAATTCTGAGTGTGTGTGCGTGTTTGTTTGTGTGAGGGGAAACCGAGAGTGTGAATGTGTGCGTGTCTCTCTCTAACACTGCGCCTATCTTTATCCCATCTGTATCTCTTGCTACAATTTCTAAGTTGGAAAAATTACATCTCAGCTAACGCCGTGGGACTGCACGTATCTCAATCTTTTGCCAGAAGTGCAGCCTGACTTCAGTTCAGATGCAGGTGTGTGGAAAGTGGTTCACAACAATTTCACAGTGTTCAAGTTTATGTTATTTTAGACCTATTTAAAGACTCGTTACGCAAAATTCATTGATTCCTAAAACATTAATTCGTACTTACCAGGAGTTGTGGGTGTAATGGTGCTGGTTGTAGGCAGACTGGTTGTTGTGGTTATAATAGTTGTTCGTTCGTTCTCGCAACAAAGTCTAATTTCGTAGTCTGCACACTCGGCGCCTCCTGCCGCCACTCTACATTTTAACCCTGTGTCTCTATCGCACGTTACATTGTCCCCTGTTTCACTGATTGGAATGTCCGGCAAATCGACTGAGCGACACTGAACATGACTTATTTCAGCAAAGTTAGAACACTCTGTCGTGCGAATGACATCCACTGGTTCAGAATCGCCCGGGTTGTTAGCAGACGGAGTATTCAAATTAATCCAGGCTGTCCAGACGCCATGACAATACAACCCTGTACAGGAAAAGAGAAAGATATTGTTCCATTTTAATTAAAGCATAGCGTACAGACAAGTGAATTGTTCAATGAGCAGATACTACAGGAACGGGCATTTATTTTAAGGGCCTTGACATTACAACTGCATTGGTTTCATATTTACCAGGAGTTGTCGTCACAGGTGCAATGGTTGAAGGAGTGGTCACAGGCACAGTGATCTCTGTTGAAGAACAGCAAATACATACAAACTATTATTGTCCATTGAATTTCTAAAGCAATTAGTTTGTTTTATAGTCATTTGTATAACTCTGAGGATGTGTGTCCGTGTGAGAGTGCGTGTGTGAGAGAAAGAGCGTGTGTGTCTCTCTTTAACACTGTACCTATCTTTATCCCATCTGTATCTCTTGCTACAATTTCGAAGTGGCGCAGTCAGGCTGTGTAAGCACTCTGAGACACTACCCTGCGTGGGGGGTGCTATGTAAGCGCAAGTTGTTGTTGTAAGTTGGAAAAATTACATCCCAGCTAACACCGTGGGAATACACGCATCTGAATATTTTGGCAAAATTCCATTACAACTATATTTATTTCATTTACCAGGACTTATGATGGAAAGTGTGGTTGTTTTTGAGGATTTGGTTGTTGCGGTTGAAGTGGTCGTCACGGATGCAGTGGTTGAAGGGGTGGCCACAGGCACAGTGATCTCTGTTATTACTGTTGAAGACAACGGATACATACAAGGCATTATTGTCCATTGAATTTCTACAGCAATTAATATTTTTACCGGCCTTTTTACAATTCTGAGTGTGTGTGCGTGTTTGTTTGTGTGAGGGGAAACCGAGAGTGTGAATGTGTGCGTGTCTCTCTCTAACACTGCGCCTATCTTTATCCCATCTGTATCTCTTGCTACAATTTCTAAGTTGGAAAAATTACATCTCAGCTAACGCCGTGGGACTGCACGTATCTCAATCTTTTGCCAGAAGTGCAGCCTGACTTCAGTTCAGATGCAGGTGTGTGGAAAGTGGTTCACAACAATTTCACAGTGTTCAAGTTTATGTTATTTTAGACCTATTTAAAGACTCGTTACGCAAAATTCATTGATTCCTAAAACATTAATTCGTACTTACCAGGAGTTGTGGGTGTAATGGTGCTGGTTGTAGGCAGACTGGTTGTTGTGGTTATAATAGTTGTTCGTTCGTTCTCGCAACAAAGTCTAATTTCGTAGTCTGCACACTCGGCGCCTCCTGCCGCCACTCTACATTTTAACCCTGTGTCTCTATCGCACGTTACATTGTCCCCTGTTTCACTGATTGGAATGTCCGGCAAATCGACTGAGCGACACTGAACATGACTTATTTCAGCAAAGTTAGAACACTCTGTCGTGCGAATGACATCCACTGGTTCAGAATCGCCCGGGTTGTTAGCAGACGGAGTATTCAAATTAATCCAGGCTGTCCAGACGCCATGACAATACAACCCTGTACAGGAAAAGAGAAAGATATTGTTCCATTTTAATTAAAGCATAGCGTACAGACAAGTGAATTGTTCAATGAGCAGATACTACAGGAACGGGCATTTATTTTAAGGGCCTTGACATTACAACTGCATTGGTTTCATATTTACCAGGAGTTGTCGTCACAGGTGCAATGGTTGAAGGGGTGATCTCTGTTGAAGAACAGCAAATACATACAAACTATTATTGTCCATTGAATTTCTAAAGCAATTAGTTTGTTTTATAGTCATTTTTATAACTCTGAGGATGTGTGTCCGTGTGAGAGTGCGTGTGTGAGAGAAAGAGCGTGTGTGTCTCTCTTTAACACTGTACCTATCTTTATCCCATCTGTATCTCTTGCTACAATTTCGAAGTGGCGCAGTCAGGCTGTGTAAGCACTCTGAGACACTACCCTGCGTGGGGGGTGCTATGTAAGCGCAAGTTGTTGTTGTAAGTTGGAAAAATTACATCCCAGCTAACACCGTGGGAATACACGCATCTGAATATTTTGGCAAAATTCCATTACAACTATATTTATTTCATTTACCAGGACTTATGATGGAAAGTGTGGTTGTTTTTGAGGATTTGGTTGTTGCGGTTGAAGTGGTCGTCACGGATGCAGTGGTTGAAGGGGTGGCCACAGGCACAGTGATCTCTGTTATTACTGTTGAAGACAACGGATACATACAAGGCATTATTGTCCATTGAATTTCTACAGCAATTAATATTTTTACCGGCCTTTTTACAATTCTGAGTGTGTGTGCGTGTTTGTTTGTGTGAGGGGAAACCGAGAGTGTGAATGTGTGCGTGTCTCTCTCTAACACTGCGCCTATCTTTATCCCATCTGTATCTCTTGCTACAATTTCTAAGTTGGAAAAATTACATCTCAGCTAACGCCGTGGGACTGCACGTATCTCAATCTTTTGCCAGAAGTGCAGCCTGACTTCAGTTCAGATGCAGGTGTGTGGAAAGTGGTTCACAACAATTTCACAGTGTTCAAGTTTATGTTATTTTAGACCTATTTAAAGACTCGTTACGCAAAATTCATTGATTCCTAAAACATTAATTCGTACTTACCAGGAGTTGTGGGTGTAATGGTGCTGGTTGTAGGCAGACTGGTTGTTGTGGTTATAATAGTTGTTCGTTCGTTCTCGCAACAAAGTCTAATTTCGTAGTCTGCACACTCGGCGCCTCCTGCCGCCACTCTACATTTTAACCCTGTGTCTCTATCGCACGTTACATTGTCCCCTGTTTCACTGATTGGAATGTCCGGCAAATCGACTGAGCGACACTGAACATGACTTATTTCAGCAAAGTTAGAACACTCTGTCGTGCGAATGACATCCACTGGTTCAGAATCGCCCGGGTTGTTAGCAGACGGAGTATTCAAATTAATCCAGGCTGTCCAGACGCCATGACAATACAACCCTGTACAGGAAAAGAGAAAGATATTGTTCCATTTTAATTAAAGCATAGCGTACAGACAAGTGAATTGTTCAATGAGCAGATACTACAGGAACGGGCATTTATTTTAAGGGCCTTGACATTACAACTGCATTGGTTTCATATTTACCAGGAGTTGTCGTCACAGGTGCAATGGTTGAAGGAGTGGTCACAGGCACAGTGATCTCTGTTGAAGAACAGCAAATACATACAAACTATTATTGTCCATTGAATTTCTAAAGCAATTAGTTTGTTTTATAGTCATTTGTATAACTCTGAGGATGTGTGTCCGTGTGAGAGTGCGTGTGTGAGAGAAAGAGCGTGTGTGTCTCTCTTTAACACTGTACCTATCTTTATCCCATCTGTACCTCTTGCTACAATTTCGAAGTGGCGCAGTCAGGCTGTGTAAGCACTCTGAGACACTACCCTGCGTGGGGGGTGCTATGTAAGCGCAAGTTGTTGTTGTAAGTTGGAAAAATTACATCCCAGCTAACACCGTGGGAATACACGCATCTGAATATTTTGGCAAAATTCCATTACAACTATATTTATTTCATTTACCAGGACTTATGATGGAAAGTGTGGTTGTTTTTGAGGATTTGGTTGTTGCGGTTGAAGTGGTCGTCACGGATGCAGTGGTTGAAGGGGTGGCCACAGGCACAGTGATCTCTGTTATTACTGTTGAAGACAACGGATACATACAAGGCATTATTGTCCATTGAATTTCTACAGCAATTAATATTTTTACCGGCCTTTTTACAATTCTGAGTGTGTGTGCGTGTTTGTTTGTGTGAGGGGAAACCGAGAGTGTGAATGTGTGCGTGTCTCTCTCTAACACTGCGCCTATCTTTATCCCATCTGTATCTCTTGCTACAATTTCTAAGTTGGAAAAATTACATCTCAGCTAACGCCGTGGGACTGCACGTATCTCAATCTTTTGCCAGAAGTGCAGCCTGACTTCAGTTCAGATGCAGGTGTGTGGAAAGTGGTTCACAACAATTTCACAGTGTTCAAGTTTATGTTATTTTAGACCTATTTAAAGACTCGTTACGCAAAATTCATTGATTCCTAAAACATTAATTCGTACTTACCAGGAGTTGTGGGTGTAATGGTGCTGGTTGTAGGCAGACTGGTTGTTGTGGTTATAATAGTTGTTCGTTCGTTCTCGCAACAAAGTCTAATTTCGTAGTCTGCACACTCGGCGCCTCCTGCCGCCACTCTACATTTTAACCCTGTGTCTCTATCGCACGTTACATTGTCCCCTGTTTCACTGATTGGAATGTCCGGCAAATCGACTGAGCGACACTGAACATGACTTATTTCAGCAAAGTTAGAACACTCTGTCGTGCGAATGACATCCACTGGTTCAGAATCGCCCGGGTTGTTAGCAGACGGAGTATTCAAATTAATCCAGGCTGTCCAGACGCCATGACAATACAACCCTGTACAGGAAAAGAGAAAGATATTGTTCCATTTTAATTAAAGCATAGCGTACAGACAAGTGAATTGTTCAATGAGCAGATACTACAGGAACGGGCATTTATTTTAAGGGCCTTGACATTACAACTGCATTGGTTTCATATTTACCAGGAGTTGTCGTCACAGGTGCAATGGTTGAAGGAGTGGTCACAGGCACAGTGATCTCTGTTGAAGAACAGCAAATACATACAAACTATTATTGTCCATTGAATTTCTAAAGCAATTAGTTTGTTTTATAGTCATTTGTATAACTCTGAGGATGTGTGTCCGTGTGAGAGTGCGTGTGTGAGAGAAAGAGCGTGTGTGTCTCTCTTTAACACTGTACCTATCTTTATCCCATCTGTATCTCTTGCTACAATTTCGAAGTGGCGCAGTCAGGCTGTGTAAGCACTCTGAGACACTACCCTGAGTGGGGGGTGCTATGTAAGCGCAAGTTGTTGTTGTAAGTTGGAAAAATTACATCCCAGCTAACACCGTGGGAATACACGCATCTGAATATTTTGGCAAAATTCCATTACAACTATATTTATTTCATTTACCAGGACTTATGATGGAAAGTGTGGTTGTTTTTGAGGATTTGGTTGTTGCGGTTGAAGTGGTCGTCACGGATGTTATTGTCCATTGAATTTCTACAGCACATGGGGTTATGATGTAGTGGCAATAACAGAGACCTGGAGAAGGGCGGGAATGCGAGCTGAATACTCCTGGCTACAATGTTTTCAGAACAGATAGGGAAGGAAAAAAAGGAGGGGGGGGGGTGGCAATATTTATTAAAGACACTTTTATGGCTCTGGAAAGGGATGATGTGCTAGAGGGTCCAAAAGCAGAAACCATGTGGCAATTTGAGCCTGCAGCTCACTAAACTTATTTTCAAACACCGTGCATTTACACACATGTACTCCAAGACCAACTTAGTCTTTTCTGCATTTATCCACTGACTAACCCCTCATTTTTCTGGATTACTCCTTATATTGCTATTCATCTTTCTTAGACCTCCATGTAATTTGTTTCTCCTCTTTAAGTTAAGGAGCACAAAAGGTGTTGATCGGTGTGTACTATAGGAGATAGGCAAGCTAATCTGTAAGCAGATTTCAGAAAGATGCAAAACCAACAGAGTGGGTTTATCCTAACATAGACTGGCAAAGTAACAGTGTAATGGGCAAGGAGTGGGAAGGATTCCTGAAATGTGTGCAGGATAACTTTCTGAATCAGTATGTTTCCAGTCCAACAAGGAAGGAAGCAATGCTGGATCTAGTTCTGGGGAATAAAGTGGGGCAATTGGAGCAGGTTTCAGTAGAAGAGCATCTGGACAACTGTGATCATTGGGTTTAGAGTACTTATGGAAAGGGACAAGGAATAATCAAAGGTGAAGATATTCAACTGGAAGAGAGCTAACTTCAATGAGTTAAAAAGGGACCTCGCCAAAGTGGACTGGAAAGAAAGATTGGCAGGTAAAACAGCCATAGGGGATGTCTTCAGGGAGGAGATAGTTTGGGGACAGAACAAATACATTCCCACAAAGAAGCATCCAAACCATCCTGCATGAATAAGGAAATTGGGATTAAAATGAAACAGAAAAAGGAGCCTTATGATAAATGTCAGGTCCAAAATACAGAAGATAATCATATAGAAATTGAAAACACAGAGGAGAACTGAAAAAGGAAATAAGAGGGGCAAAGAGATTGTATGAGAAAAGATTAGCGGGTAACATAAAAGGGACCCCTTAGGTATTTAATCAGCATATAAATAATGAAAGGTTAGTCAAAGATAGGGTAGGTCCAATTAGGGATCTAAGAGGAAATCTTGTGGAGGCAGAGGCCAGGCTGACGTACTGAATGGGTACTTTGCATCTGTCTTCACAAAAGAAGAGGATGCAGCCAATGCCATAGTATCAGAGGAGACGGTAGAGAAATTGGATGAGAATAAACCGATACGAGGTACTAAAAAGGTTATCGGAGCTCAAGGTAGATAAGTCACCTGATCCGGATGGGATGCATCCCTTTACTGAGGGAAGTAAACGTGGAATTAACGGAGGCTTTGGCCATAATCTATCAATCCTCTTGGACAATGGGGTGGTGCCAGATGACTGGAGGAGAAATGTTACTCCCCTGTGCAAAAAGGGGTGTAACACACGCGCACACACACTCAGAGATACACACTGTTTCATAGAATCATGGAATGATACAGCACAAAAGAAAGCCATTTGGCTCTGTGCAAAGAGCTATCCAATCCAATTCCACTCCCCCGCTCTCCCCATAGCCCTGCAAACTTGTCCTCCCTAAATAAATATCTACTCTCTTAAAAGTTGTCATCGAACCGGTTTCCCAATGCATTCCAGATCCAAACATCTCGCTGTGTAAAAAAATTTCTCCTCACCTCAGTTTCTTTAAATAACTATTTTAAATCAGTGTCCTCAGGTTACCGACCTACCCACCAGTGGAAATAATTTCTCCTTGTTCATCTTATCGAATTCCCTCGTCATTTTGAAAACTTCTATTGAGCCTCCTCTTAACCTTCTTTGTTCCAAGGAGAATAACCTTAGCTTCTCTAGCGTCTGCTGATAACTGAAATCCCTCATTCCTAGTACCTTCCTGATAAATCTGCTTTGCACCCTCTCCAATAGCTTGACATCCTTCCTAAAGTGTGGTGCCCAGAACTGAACACAGTCTCTAGCTGAGGCCTAACCAGTGTTTTATAAAGGTTTATCATAACTTTGTATTCTATGCCCCTATTTATAAAGCCTAGTATCTCGTATGCTTTTTTAACAGCTTTATCTACCTGTCCTGCCACCTTCAAAGATTTACTTATATGAACCCCCAGGTCTCTCTGTTCCTTCACCTCATCCAAGATTGTACCATCAGTTTATACTGCTCCTCATTCTCCGTTCCAAAATACATTACTTTGCATTTCTCCACATTAAACTTCATCTGGCACGTGTCTGCCCATTTCACCCGTCTTGCCTATGTCCGCTTGCAGTCTGCTACTATCCTCCTTACAGTTTACTACTTTTCCTTGCTTAGTATTATCTGCAAACTTGGAAATTGTACTCCCTGTACCCAAGTCCAGGTCATTTATATAGATCAAAAACAGCAGTGGTCCCAATACTGACCCCTGGTGTACACCACTGCACATTTCCCTCCAGTCAGAAAAACAACTATTCATCACCACTCTCTGCTTTCTGACTCCCAGCCAGTTCTGTATTCATGCTGCCACTGTCCCTTTAATACTATGGGCTTCTAGTTTGCTTACAAGTCACTTTATCAAACAACTTTTGAAAATCCATATAAATTACATCAACTTCACTACCTTCATCCTCACCCTCCATTACTTCATCAAAAAACTCTTATCAGGTTTGTTAGCCGTGATTTGCCTTTGACAAATCAGTGTTGGCTGTTCTTTATCAATTCATATTTTTCCAAGTGAAAATTAATTTTGTCCCGGATTATAGTCTCTAGAAGTTTCCCCACTACTGACATTAGGCTGAATGGCCTATAGTTCCCGGATGTATACAGGGGAGTGCACGTATCTGAATCTTTTGCCAAAATTGCAGCCTGATGTCGGTTCAGATGCAGGGGTGTAGAAAGTGGTTTACAACAATTTAGCAGTGTTGTATTATCTTTTCATCTTTACAACGAGTAAAAACATTGAAAATCAGTGGTTAGTTCCACGGCCATATTCAAAGTTTTGCAATAAGATTATTTCAATGCTATTAATAGACAAAATTTTGGAACCAACATTTTAAAAGGGAGACAAAATCAAATGAGCTACTGTGCAATTTATTATTTCACTTTTCCTGCACAATATAACATCCAGTATCTTTTGTTGATGAAATAGATTTATTGAAGGGTCTTCACCATACAACAATATTTGTCATCAATTATGTTCATAAATTGGTTACCTCGTGGTATTTGTAGGATATTGCTGTGAGCAAATTAGCTATTGTGTTTGACTGTACAAATGTAGTCACTTCATTTTATAGCAATTATTTGTGAAGTGCATCAAGATATTTTGATGTTGCAGATGCTATATCAAATGCAAGGATTATTATTCCTACTTACCAGGATTTCTGGTGGTCACAGGCACAGTGGTTCCTGCTTTTGTTGTTTTAGTTGTTTCTGCTGAAGAACAAGAACAGCATTCAGACCATTTCTGTTTTTGTGGAATTTCTGCACTAGTTAAACATTTTAATACAATATAGTATAATGTAATCTTGGGTAAATAACCTTCAAGTGAAAATAATCTCAATGAAAAAAACTTACTACTGCTGGTTGTGGACTTAGTTGTTGACAATATTCTGGATGTTAGTGTTATTGGCGTTCCTTGAGTGGGTGTTGTTGATGGAGGAGTTGTTATTGTTCTTGTTGTTGTTGATGATGTTGATGTTGTTGTTGTTGATGGTGATGTTGCTGATATTGGTATTGTTGGTGTGGTCGTTCTTGTTGATATTTCTGAAGAAGACAAATTTTGTAATCAATTAATTGTGTTTTTTTAAAGCAAGTAAATTAATATTAGAAATATTGATAGTTATTGAAATGCCTGCTGCTGCTTAGACTGCAAAAAGTTACAACACATTTACAGTACTCTGCTGTGTCTCAAGGAATTCATCTAATAATAGTGTTTTGAATTAAATGAAGGGAAACATCATATCTCTCACTGTAAGGTAAAGAAATGGAAACAGAACATTTAATAAATGAGGTGCCTTTTTGAATAAATGGTTTTGCTTTAAATCACAATGCAGGAAATCTTTACCTGTAGTTGATGAAGAAGTAGACACTTGTTTTTGACATTGTTGTTTCTGACAGGAAACAACTGTGTCAAAAACAACAGTGTCTGTCAGACATCAAGTCCTGGATGAGAGCCAATTTTCTCCAGTTGAATATCAACAAGACCGAGGCCGTCCTGCTTAGCTCCCGTCCGCGCCTCCTCATCACTATTCATGGATGCACTTTCCACCTCACTGAGCCAGTGCAGAACCTATGTGTCTTATTCGACTCTCAGCTGTCTTTCAAACCCCATATTTGTGCCATGACCCATTCTGCCATCCCTCAACTCGGCAACATTGCCAACCTCTGCCACTATCTCTCCCCTCAGACTGCTAAGATCCTCATCCATTCCATCATTGTGTCCAGGCTTAACTATGCTCACTGGACTTCACAACTGTTCCTCCACAAACTGCAGATTATTCAGAACTCTGCAGCTTGTGTCCTCTCCCACACTAACATGACCTGATCACCCCCATCCTCACCCAGCTTCATTGGCTCCCATCTCCCAGAGTATTGAGTTCAAGATCTTCGTCCTCACGTTTAAAGCCCTACAAGGTCTTGCTCCTCCCTACCTCTGCAATCTACTAACCTTTACCAACCTGCTTCACTGGCTCCCCATCACCCAGAGGATAAAGTTCACAACCTTGGTCCTCACCTTCAAAGCCCTCCATGGCCTTGAACTTTCCTACCTCTGTGACCTGCTAATGCCATATTAAATTGTCCGCTGCCTCCGCTCGGCAGGCACTGTCCTGCTGCACATTCCCCACCTTACCCGCTCCACCATCAGTCGTTGGGCCTTCATCCTTTCTGCCGCACCCTCTGGAACTGAATAAAACCTATCTCTTCGACCGAGCCTATTCTAACCTCCCCCTTTTCCCTTCCATGTTGCTTTGCAAGCTGATTTTATCCTACATAATAATAATCCTTGCATTTGATATAGCGCTTTTCACGTCTTCTAGACGTCTCAAAGCGCTTCACAGAATAGACTGTAAATTGGATTGACTGTATATTTGTGGGCGAAATGTAAGTTGTAGTCCTGAAGAAAACAATTAATATCTCCTTGCGTCAATTCAGCGGCATTTATGCAGCACTAATCTTGTTCCACGTCATGAGGAAATGGGCACTTACCTGTACAATGGACTTTTCCATTTTTGCATTCACTGAAAGAGAATGCAAAACATATTTTAGATATTGTTCTAGTTTTGGGAAAATCAGAACATTAATGTTCTGTAATTCATCTGTAAAGTCTGAGTTAGCAGTACAATTATTCCTAAAAAGACCCCTTTATCACTCTTTCTCCATAAGGAACACCAGAAATAATTTACAAGGCCAGTCCACACTGCCCTTCACAAAATGTAATGCGGCAACATTGTAACTAGATTTGCTCACACACATAGCTATGTTCAGTTGAGCACTAATAACAAGAACATAAGAAAACAGATTCAGTGCATCAACCACACTTCCACTAGCAAACTATATTCATTTTGTCTGGTTCATTTCATGAGGAAATTGAATAACTACACATAAATTTCTTAGAAGATGAACATAATAATAAGAATAATAAGAATAATAATTATACTTGCATTTGGTTTAACACCTTTCATGTCAGACAGACGTTCCAAAGTAGAGTGACTATGTATTTGTGGGAGAACGCGGCAGCCAATTTATGCACAGCAATGTCCCACAAACAGCCTTGAAGTGAGTGACCAATTTTATTTGGGAGATTGTTGGCCAGGACACCGGGAGAAACTCCCTTCTCTTTTCAAATAGTGCCATGAATCTTTAGCATTCACCTGAACAGTTTAACGTCTCAACTGAAGGACGACATCTCCAACAATGCAACATACCCCCAGCACTGCATTGGATCCTCAGCTTAGACTGTGTGATTTCAAGTCCCAATGTGGGGCTTGAACCCACAACCTTCTGAATCAAGAGACAAGCTGAAACACAGCAAATGTGCATCTCTTACCACACAAGATGTTCAATTAGAAACAGAAACGGGAGTAGACCATTCAGCCCCTTGAACATGTTCCGCCAAATCATGGCTGATCTGTACATCAAGTCTAATTTCTCACCCTTGCCCCATATCCTTTAATACCCTGACCTACCAAATTTCTATCCACCTGAGTCTTGAAGATGTGAATGGATCCAGCAACCACAGCTTTTGGTGGAGAGACTTCCAGATTCCCACTGCCCTTTACATAAGAACTGCCTCCTAATTTCACTCCTAAATGGCCCAGCTCTAATTTTAAGATTATGCCCTCTTGTTCTGGATTCCCCTACCAAAAGAAATTGTCCCCTACATCTAACCTATCAAATCCCCTTATTATTTTAAAAACCTCAATCAGATCACCCCTCAATCTTCTAAACTCAAGGGAATAGAGACCAAGTTTATGAAACCTGTCTTTGTAATTTAACCTTTTTAGCCCTGGTATCATTCTGGTGAATCTGTGTTGCACCTCCTCCAGAGCCAATATATCCATCCTGAGATGCAGTGCCAAAAACTGAATCCAGTCTCCAGATGGGGTCTGACCAAGGCACTATATAGTTGAAACAATATTTATTCCCCTTGAGATAAAGGCCAACATACCATTAGCCTTTTTGATGACTTTTTGCAGTTGTGAGCTGGTTTTTATGTGTATGTGGATATTCAAGATCATAGAATCATAAAATTATACAGCACAGAAGGAGGCCATTCAGCCCATTGCGTCTGTGCCGGCTCTTTGAAAAGAGTTATCCAATTCAATCCCACTCCCCTGTTCTCTCCACATAGCCCTACAAACTTGTCCTCCCCAAATAATTATCTACTTCTCTCTTAAACATTGTTATTGAATTGACTTCCACCACCCTTTCAGACAATGAATTCCAGTTTCTTTGCTCTTCCATAGTTCATAGTTTCTCACCATTTAGAAAATATTTTGTTTTGCTATTTTTGTATCCATAGTGGATGACCTCACATAGATATTCTCTTATCCATCATGTTAGTGACCGCCTGAAAAAACTCAATTAGATTGTCCAGACATGACCTACCCTTCTGATGTCTGACACATGCAGAAACCCATCACAATGCTTAAGAGTATTCAAACCCAAGCTGAGATTTCCATGCACCATACATAAATCCCAGAGATAGATTGTTGGAATGGAATGTTCACTCTCTCCCTGGAGGGACGCCTCCTGGTTACCTAATTCTGGAAAGTATTAGGCACAGGTTGGCAAGAACCAAGGCTTGGGGACTCCAGAGTGTGCGTTGGGGGTACTGATGGAGTCCAACCAGCTAAAACCACATCGCTTGCTATTGATATCGCTGTCTGGCAAGCTTTCATGAGCAAGGACACCCTATCCATTAGGCCTTTGGCTTGCAGGGTTAACAGGAGCCGAGTTGGATAACTTCCTGCCCCCAGTGACTGGTCTACCCTTCCAGGTCCTGCCCGATGAGCTGGGCTGGCTGTGCTATCATCAGCAGTGCCCTGGAATACTGCGGACCTGCCTGTCTCAGGAACCAGACTACCAAGACTGCCACAGAGGGTTGGCTTGATTACAACATTTTGCCAGGCAAATCACTTTGGAGCAAGTTTACAACATTTTGCCAGGCAAGTCACTTTGGAGCAAGTTCAACTCCCTGCTAACGCAAGAGTTATTATTATTTACTCGCCACCACAGATACTCCCAGCAATGCAGCATCACCTTGTCCACTGGAGCCATTCCCCACCCGCTGAAAAACATCCTTCATCACCGCCATCCTCAAAAAATCTTCCCTGGACCCAAACCTGCTCTCCAACTCCTGCCCCTAATACAACCTCCCTTTTCTTTCCAAGGTCCTGAAATGAGTCGTTGCTTCCCAGCTTTGCTCCTTTCTCTCCCGGCATTCAGCCCCTCCAAATCATGTTTCCGCGCTGCCCATAATACAGAAAAAGCCTTGGTCAAAGTGTGTTAGATTTTATCAACCTGTGACCAGGGCTCACTATGTTTCCTTGTTCTGTGGAGTCCTGTAGCTCAGTGGTTAGAGCACTGGCCTCGCAAGTGAGAGATCTGGGTTGAAAACCCGGCAGGGTGAAATCTTGAGCAAGCTTCCTTACTCCACATGCATCTGTTTACCTAGCAGTAAGTAAGAACCCGGTTGTTAGATGATTGGTGGATCGCTTTTCCAGGGGTAATAATTCCTTCAAAAAAAATAATAAATTGGTCACTCAATCCACGACTGTGGGACACTGCTGTGCGCAATAGGCTGCCGCATTTCATCCACACAATATACAGTCAGTTCGCTGTACAGTATATTCTGTGAAGTGCTTTGAGACGTCTCGAAGATGTGATAAAGCGCTATATCAAATGCAAGGATTATTATCTGATGCCTTCGACACTGTCAGCATTTTATCCTCTTCTGTTGTGTCTCCTCTCAGCTCAATCTGCATGGTCCTGTCCTTGAATGGTTCAAATTCTACCTTTCAGACCATTTCCACTTTGTCTCCACAATGGCTTCTCCTGCAGCCCCCGCCTCATCTGATGTGGAATTCCTCAGGGCTCTGGTTCTCTCCTCTTCAATATCTATATGCTCCCTCTTAGTGACATCATCCACAGACATGGCGTCAACATCCACATGTATGCATGCGGGTGACACTCAACTCCTATCTCTCGGCCACCACCTTCGACTCAAGAATCACTGCTGTCCTGACAATATGTCTGTCAGACATCAAGTCCTGGATGAGAGTTAATGTTCTACAGTTGGTCTCAAGACCCTCCTCTTGGACCACGCCTTTGATCACCCTTCGACCCCTATCCTTCTGCTTTCCACCTCTCCTGATCCTGACCGCTTGCTCAGGTCCAAATCCCTGTCTTTCCAGTGACTTGGGACATCCTCCCGAAGTGAATGGCTCACTACAAATGTAATTTGTTGTTGATTTTCTTTGACTAGTAAGATATAATCAGTTTAGTAACCAAAGATGCTCTTTTTGTGTCTATCTTAGTTGTAATATACTGTGAGAAATTGTTCTAAGGAACCTGAAGCATTTCGTACAGAACACCCCCATTCCAATAAGAAAGGAAAAAATCATTACTGGGCAATTCCTTACAGCAAGATCATCTTTGACAATATTCCTGTAGTTTTTACAAGCATTTTATATCAAAGCAACTCAGCATTTTGCTTCATTATATTTGAAACATTTTATTCCACAATAATAAGGATTTGTAATAGAATAAAATTCATTGAACACATTACCATTCTTCACAGTCATTCTTCGTTGTTTCACCTTGTTGCAGTATTTTCCCATTATAATAACATGTGCATTCAGATAAGTTAACACACTTCATTAGATTTTCATCCAGGTAAGGAGCATTCTCGGGGCAGTTTGCGTAACAACCTATGTTTCATAAAAACAAATGTTGCAAAATCAGTGAAAGCTATCTACTTTAATTTAATGTATCTAAATTCACGACTGAGTTATATCAACACATAGAGATGTCCTCCCGATATAAGTGGCGCTATATTAAATGCAATTCGTTATTATATAAGTAATTACCAGCTGTCAATTTTAAGTACAGTTTCAAATTTTTTTTTGCCATTTTTATAATTATTTAAAATGACCAAAATTTCAAATACATCATATCTCATTAGACAATTCTTACCATCCTACCTACTACACAGATTAAATAGTCTTGAGTGGTGTATTTTATCAAAATGAATAGACATTAAATTGTACACAATCATTTAGAAAAAATGCCCTTAATATACGAAAACAATTTGAAAAGTAATCTTATTTATACAGGATAAACTAACTGTAAAGCAATATTTAATTGACCTTCAAGAACTGCAGAGAAATTCTTGCCGATGTGCTGGTCGCTGCATGTTTTTGATGTTATAGTCCCACATGGTTTATAATGCCAGCTGCATTCATCAGGATCATTATAATAGTCACAAAATACAGCTGCAATGAAAATGGTAATTGTTGTTATGGGATCATCAGTCAGTTAGCTCAGTTTAGATACTAATACCAATCGCATAATCTATGCACAATTCATTTTAGATTTAAATTGTTTACATTATTGTTAACACTAAGAATCTGCAGTACAGTGAAATAGAAGTCAGTAAATTTTATTTGTCGTACTACATCTCACTTTTGCTCAATGTAATGCAGTAACATTCTAATATCATTACAAATGCTTCCCAGCTATTTGTGAATGGTGGAACTGATACTTCCTTCTCTTCCCCTTCTTTGTTTCCCCAGCTCAGGCTCTCAGCCTATGGTGTGAAGTACCTTGAGACATCCTCCTAATGGAAAGGCTGCTAAATAAATATAAATGTTGTTGTGGATACTTACGACACAGTTCAGGGGTTCTCCAGTAAATGCAAATACCAGCTTTATTACAGGCTTCTGCATACACTGATACAGCAGTACAGAAACCAAGGTATTTCCCCTCCATATCACAGGCACAAGCTTCTTTGATGCAAGCGTCATAATAGGCAGTTGGGTCAACCTGATAAAAGTATGACAACATATAGTTTTAAAGCATAAGCCAGTCACTGGGGGCAGGGAATCATCCAACTCAGCTTCCTGCAAGCCAAAACCATAGCGGGAAAGCTTGCCAAAGATCGATATTAATGGCAAGCTATGCAGTTTCAGCTGGTTCACTCACTATGCAGTTTTAGCTGGTCCAATGCACAGTCTGGGGTCCCCAAGCCTTGGCTCTTGTCAACCTGCACCTAATACTTTCTGGATTTAGGTAAGCAGGATGCATTCCTCCAGGGAGAGAGTGCGATTCCATTCCAACAATCTATTTCTGGAATTTCCAGGTGTAGGTGGGATGCATGGAATTCTCAGTTTGGTTTGGATACTCTTAAGCATGGTGATGGGTTTCCGCATGCGTCAGACACATGGCTGACCAAAAAAAACACTTCTTGTGAGGTTAACCTTAAAAGGAAATGTTTTAGATCATGTCTTACCTTTTTATGGCATGGTTGAAACAGTTCATCCTTAATCATGCTACACTTCCTTTGAGCCCATGCTAAGCAATATGGATTGCTGTCACAGGGTAATGATTCATTTTTTACATTCGGGCACGATGCTTCCAATTTCCAAGTGTTTCCAAATTCTAGGTGATTGCTCACCAAAGAGTTTGTTTTTGTTGTTAGATCATCTGCAACATCGTTGTTGAAATTTCCACATAGACCACAGACTCTGTTCTACAACAAAATATCAAAAAAATACAATTCAGGAATAGTGTAACAGTCATATTTTAAGGAAACACATTTACATTTTCTCACGTAACTCCACAATAGAACAGTCTGCACATGATATATACATTTTATAAGGGGTAAGACGATATAAGGGGTAAGACGATAGACGGTAAGATGATACCCTCGCTCGCCTCCACTGGCTCCCCATCCCCCAGAGGATTGATTTCAAGATCCTCATCCTCACCTACAAGGCCATTCACGGCCTTGCTCCCTCCTACCTCTCCAACCTACTATCCCCCTACCTACCTGCCCGTACCCTCCGTTCCTCTGGCTCCGGTCTGCTCCACGTCCCCCGCCCCAACATCGGTGGTCGGGCCTTCAGCCTCTCAGCCCCCAGGCTCTGGAACTCCATCCCCCAGTGCCTTCGCCTTGCTTCCTCCCTTTCCTCCTTCAAGGCCGGTCTCAAAACCTTTCTCTTTGACCGTGCCTTCAGCTCCCCTCTCGACTCTCTTCCCCCTCCTCGCTCTCTCCCTTCCCTCCCCTCACCCTGACCATTTCCCCCCTCCTCGCTCCCTCCCTTCCCTCCCCTCACCCTGACCATTTCCCTCCTGCTCGGGTCATGACCCAACTGTGCAGCGCCTTAGGACGTCCTCCTGACGTGAAAGGCACTTTATAAATGGAATCTTGTCTTGTTGTTGTTGTATTCCAAAAGATCCTAGAATACCATTTATGGGGTTGAAGAGTTTGTCAATAGTGCACTCTAATCCAAAAAAAGTACAAATACTTTTTCAAGCTTATCCCAAGTCTCAAACAATGTAGCAAAAGCATTCTTATAAAGCGAGAACCCGGTTCTGGAGTCAATCAGATAAGAGGACACTTCAGAGAGAGGTAGGTAGTGAGGAAGTTGTTGGAATGTTTTATAATGATCATTGAAATCGAATATATTTCAATTGAACCATAATTGTAGTTTATTTACTCCCTGGTGTATTTATTCTTAAGTGCTCTGAGGTGCCACTCCAGGGATATATCGCAGGAGCTTGTGAAGGGCACTATATAAAAATAGCATTTATATAGCACCCCTCATGCAGGGTAGAGTTGCAGAGCACTTGACAGTGGTGGAGCATAATGCCAAGCCAGGATGAGTGGTGGGGAGGTCAAATAGGAAGGTTTTTATGCACAACCTGAAGGTGGGGAAGGAAGGGGCAAGACGGGGGGAAAGAGGAAAAGTGTTCCAAAGTTTGGGGGCATAGTGGCTGAAAACATGGCCACCAATGGTGAAACGGAGGACTGAGGGACATGCAGAAGGCTGGAGCCAGTTGAGCAGAGGCAGCAGGTTGTAGGTTAGGGTTTATGCAGGTCTTGGAGGTAGGGAGGTGCACACTAGGGCATGAGGGGATTTGAAAATGAGTGAGGATCTTGAAATCGATCCGTTCGGTAATAAGGGTCCAGTGGAGCCTGGCTAGAACTAGTGTTGTTCTTCAATGACTTGAAAAAAATATTTATTCTATTGATGTCCATCAGAGAATTGTGATTCTAATAGAATATAAGTGTCAAATATGAAAGATTCAACATTGGAGTTTGGTGTCTCAACATCTGCTGAAGTTATTCAACGGTAACTATTACCATTTAAGCACAAATTCATTGCAGAATACCAGACCTGAAAAGTGTGCAAATGAAGTAAATGACCCAAATACAATAATATGCAATTGATAATAATTTAGTGCCTTTCACATCAGGAGGATATCTTAAAGCACTTTAAATATAGAATTCAAATACAACTGAAAAGCTAAAGAATGACTTATTTAAACATAAAAATATAAGCATGTTTGTTGAACTTTTGGAAAGCAAAGACAATCTTTTCAGATTTCAGTTTGAATACAGTATATTCAAGAGACAAGCAGTCAATAGCAGTTTACTGATAGCCCAGTAAAAGTAACCCAAGTTTACAGCAGAATTATGTAATACAACAGAAAAGATCAGGTCAAATGGAAACAAATCTCATTGGATTCTTCTACATGAAAGATCACTAATGAAGAAAAGTAACAAATTAAATTTTCCATTTTGCTCAAGCTAACAGGAGACACTGAATGTTTTATTTTATTATAATATTCTGTAGTAAGATAACAGATAACATTATGGGATGAAAAACACAATTTCCTAGGAGAACAGTCTAATTTTTGATGTGATCAAGAAATGTGACAAATGCAAAACTCTCAACTCCAAACAACTTACTTTCCATTTTGGATCCAGTGTGACTGAAAGTCTTGTCATCTTATCCCATATCACAGTAATCCCATCAGAAAATGTAATGATTATATATAGTCCAACAGTGTGAAGTGAATAGGAATTATCTCTGCACTGGGTCTGATGAGATACTTTCTCCATAGTCTTCACTTTGCCATCAGTAAGAACGAGTTCTTTGTTCTAAAGATTAAGACAGAACAGTTGCTTGTGTTATGTCTAATAATGATGGTTCCAGGTAGTTGTTATATACAATGACATTTAAAAATATATGAAAAATTTAACTTTTCAGTAATCACAAATGAATAAAAACATACCTTGAATACAATTCTGATATTTCTTGAGCATGTCACACCATTTTCACAGCAGGGAACACTCTCAGTAAATATTTGGAATGTGCTATCTCCACCATTGCACTGGTCCTAAAGAGATGATATCACTTAATGGAATTTGAACTTAAACAAGTTGTCAAATGAGTAAACCAGTCAAATAATTTATGCGTAGAATGTATTTACATAGTGCATAATGCACTGCCTTCAAATGATCAATAGCACAAGCTTGTCCAAGGGTTGAATATTATATCTTTTCTCCCTCCCTCTAATTTTTTAGGTTACGGCCTGTTGTTCAGAAATTCTGTGGCTATAGAAAAGAATCCTTTAATCCACTCTGTCAATTCTCTTAAAACACCATTCCTCTGGTTCAAGGGGTACAGCCCAGTATGCCCATGCTGCCCTCATAACTAAGATCCCTTCAATCCATGTATCATTGTGATGAATAATATCATAATAATAATCCTTGCATCACATCTTTGAGACGTTTCAAAGCGCTTCACAGAATATACTGTAAAGTGAATTAACTGTATTTTGTGGGCGAAACTATAGACACAGCACTATATCAAAATGCAGTTATTATAGTTTGTTTATTGAGTTCTCATTGTCAATCTCTTCTTTCAATGAACAGGGAACAGATGAAACTGTAGGCACAAAGAAGACCATTCAGTCCAGTTTGGAAAGCTCAAAAGCTGTATCCCAGCTTCTGACTGTAGCTTCAGAAGATCAGAAGGAAGAAAATAAAGCATTACAGACCAGTTGGCAGTGAACGTTAAGTGTTAAGGCCAGTGAACCTGCTGCAGTGGAAAAAACTGCCCAGGCTGAGAAACCAACCAATTCAGCTGTGTAATATGTATATACACACACATATATATATATATATTACACATTCGGCATATATCAAAACAAATTATATACATATATTCAGGGTTTCTGAGCTTGAGGAGAGGCTGGTGTCACAACATAGCATACAGGAGGGTGAAGAGTTCATGAATCGAATGTTTCAGGAGTTGGTTACCCCACAGCCACAGAGGGTACAGAAGGAAAGTGAATGGGTGATTACCCGGTATGGTAGGAAGAGGGGATGCGCAGTGCAGAAATCCCCTAAGAGTGAGGCACTCACAAACCGATGTACTGAAGTCTCTACTGAATACTGGTGAGGGTGATGATACCTCTCGGGAGGGAAGTCAAAAGCAAATGGATGCACAGGGGGACGCAGGGAAGAGTGTCAATGCAATTGTCATTGGGGACACAACGGTAAAAGGAGTAGATAGATGTTTCTGCACCAAAAATGTGACTCTTGCATGGTATGTTGCCTCCCTGGTGCCAGGGTTGAAGACGGGGGAGGGGGCTGTGACCGTAGGCAAGGTCGAAAAGGAAGGACATCAGGCGTGGCCTGAAGATGGGTATAGAAGGGGCAAGGCGAATGTATAGAGGAAGGAAGAGTGTTCCAGATTTTCAGGACATAGTGGCTGAAAGCATGGCCACCAATGGTGGAAAGGAGGGCAGGAGGGACATGCAGAAGGCCGGAGCCAGTTGAGGGGAGACAGTAGGTTGTAGGTTGAGCAGGTCAGAGAGGTATAGAGGTGCCAGGGCATAAAGGGATTTGAAAATGAGTGTGAGAACCCTTAAATCGATCCGTTCGGCGATACGTAGCCAGTGGAGCCTGACTGGAACTGCTTTAATGGGGGTACAGAGTTTAAAGGTGAGTCTGCAAGTGGCAGAGTTTTGGATTAGCTGGATCCTGTGTGGGTGACCACCCGTCATGGTAGGAAGAGGGGACGGGCAGTGCATGGTGGAGTTGGGGAGACCGGCAAAAAGGGCATTTCATAGGTTAAGTTGGGAGATGACGAATGCATGGATGAGTGATTCGGCTACATCTGGGATAAGGTATGGCCGGGGATGGGCAATGTGGCAGAGGTGGAGGAAGGCGGTCCTCATCAGGGAACCGATGTGGGGAAGGAAGGACAACTGTGGGTCGAACCTGGCATCTAGGTTGCGCACTGATTCAGTAAGTGAGGGATAGGCTGAAGTGTTGAGAAGGTCAGAGCCGCACAGGATAGAAGGACATTACTTCCTAAGTTTTATATTCAAGCCCTCTTGTGATAAAGCCTAACATTCTATTGGCCTTTCGAACTGCTTTTTGTTCCTGTGAACTGACTTTCAATGATCTGTGAATCCTTTCTCCTCCATCTAATACTTCTCATTAACATATTGTTAGAGCCAAAAGAGTACTACTTTTAGGATTAGATAATATGCTGTGCGCAATTGGCTGCGCGTTTCACCCACAAATATACAGTCAATTCACTTTACAGCATATTCTGTGAAGCGCTTTGAGATATCTAGAAGATGTGAAAAGCGCTATATCAAATGCAAGGATTATTATTATTATACTTTGCTGATAAACTACTCCAGTTTAGCTGTAACCCATTCTGTCTACATTCAATGTATTATTTACATATATGGTAGTTTACAATACTACCATATATGTAAATATTTTCACGGGTCAAACTTATGGCCTAAATTGTTTATCTTTTCATGTGGGTAAATTTTTATCGATAAAGATAAATTAAAATGTGCCCTACATGTGCCAGCCTTGCAAGAATGGTTTGAATTGTGCTCACGTGGCTGATGCATGTGTGCTCACAGCTTTTGTTTTGTTTAGTCAATTACACAATAATTTTGTCTTGTGTATACTGTAGCGACTTCACGATTTCCATGACAATTATTACATACACAAATATTTATGTATACAGTATCCTATAATGTAATGTTTATATATTAATCAATGATTGATTAGAAAAAATAACTAAATTTTTTGAACTACATAAAGATGAGTTCCAAATAATATTTTTGGTTACAACTTACCTTAACAAAGATGTATTCACAATTACCATCATAGGTGTATCGCTTTCCATCAAAGGTTATATGATGACCATCTCCATAAACCTGACAGGTCTTTGGACATGGTTTCTCAGAGCAATCCCATGACCCTGCTTTGCATGTGCTGCAAATAATAAAACAGTTATATGCTGCTATGATTTTCAAGGACCTCAGTGTTGAATAATGACAGACAAAACAGTAACTATGTGCTTTGAGTTACATTTCTACAATGGTATAGATGTAACTCTGAAATCATTATCTGAAAATAACCTTTCTGGGGGGGAAAAGTGGCATTCATATGGTGTACAATGAACGTTGTTTCAATATCTCTTGCAGTATTCTTATTTAGTTTTTTTATTAAAACATAACAACTGCTGTGTGCAATTGGCTGCTGCGTTTCACCCACAAAAGATGCAGGCAATTCACTTCATTGTATATTCTGTGAAGTGCTTTGAGATGTCTCAATTACGTGATAAGTGTTTTATCAAATGCAAGAATTATTATTATTATTATTGTTATATAGCAAAGTACAAGGGAGGATGTGAGAGCAGGCTATAATTTTCTCTAAACAATAATGACCACTTTATGACATTCTGGTCATTGTCACAACATTTTAAATTGGACTCAGGATAGCCCCTGGTATTCATTGTGAGATCATCAACTCAGCATGCGAGGTCACATAGAATTTTGAAAAAGTAAACAATTATATATATATATATATGTTATATATATTGCCACTGGACTATAAGATTTAAGATTTAAACTGGTACCTTAAAATTTGTAAGAACAGTTTAAGATCATTGACTGACAAATTCTGAAGAATGGAGTACACTAAGTATTTTCAGGCCCATTTGTAAATAGATTATGCAAATGTAAATAACAATAATTTAAGTGGTCTATTACTATACCTCAAAGAGTGCTATAAATTATTTTATTGGCCAATTTTTGACATTTGTTAAATCTCACCATTTATTACAGTCCCGTTGGATTACGCTTTCAACATTATATTTGTTTCCTCCAAAGAAACAAGGGCACTGGTCAGCATTAATGCAGTGTCCACTGTCATCTTCCACACTTCCATCAGGGCAGAAACAGCCATTTACACATACGTAATCACTCTGTTTTAAAAGAAAATTTAACTTTTGAACTAAGTGATATTTACCATTGAGGAAACAACTGATACAGATTTGTACAACTTTATAATCAGAAGTATCGCACAATTAGTATTTTTAGATTATAAACTATACAATTGGTTCAGCATTAAAAAGATGTTACTGAGACTATACCATTGATCTGAAATTAATCATCTTTATGCTGTGCAAATGATGTAAATGTTCAAGTGTAAGTTATTTGAACTGTTGGGAACAAAAGGGGAAAACCAATAAATGTTAAAAAGATTGATTTAGTTGTTTTTAATAATATTCAGTATTATTAAAGTAGAAAAGCATCATAACCCACGTTCCATAGATTTGCTTATAACATGAATGGAGTGTGGACCTGGCAGGAAGTGAGCCAGCCAGCTGCACCAAATGCAGTGAGTGCAGCAGGACTGATGGCTGTTGCAGTTCTGTTATAAGGTGGGTTGTGATTTTATGGCTCCAACTATTGCCTTATAATAGGATTCTATTATATTTAGCATTTTGGAGATGTAATTTTAAAAAAAATCATTACTTGAAGTATTAATGTCACTTACACATTGCATATTCAATCTGCTGCATGTCTTTTTACAATAGGTTTCATTTGGCTTTAAATTAGAACAGTCAAAATATACTTTTCCACCGGAACATTCTAAGGGGACAAAAAAGTTTTGTTTAGAAAATGACAGTTCATTTTCATTCTTTATTCAAAGTACAGCATCTTCTGACTTCGGAAGATGTTGATACAGCAGCTCACCTGGCACAGGGGTTGTAGGAATTGTAGAACATTGAGGTTTTCCATCTATACAAATGCTGAACGCAGAAAAAGTATTATAGTTTACATGCATTTAGTTGTATTATTCAATATTTGCATTGAATATAACATATAAGAAGGTTCTTACCAGGTTTGACCATTAACATAACTACTTTGTCCTATTTTGATAATCATGTCGCCCACATAACATGGACAATCTGATCCTTCTACACAGTCTCCATTTTTATTCATCTGCAGTCCTTCAGGGCACCCACAACCAGAAACTGGAACATCTTGTATATCACATGTGAAATCCTTTCCTGGCAACAGTCTACAGGAACGGTTACAGGCCCTCATATCATAGTCAAACTCCTGATTGTTGGTGCACACATTATCTGCAAAAAAATAGGACCTGGGTCACTAATGTAAATGGTAATGAAGCACGCAAATGCTATCAAATCCCAATAAACGTATCATCAGACTGGCTCTGGCTGCGCGGAACTACATAGAGCAGAGCAGAGTCCAGAGGCATGATCACATAAACCACACATTACCGAATGATATTTATTTCACAACAACAACTTGCATTTATATAGCACCCTTCATGTGGGTAGTGTCTACCCACACTTATTTAGTGCGTTTCCAGTCAGGAAGATGTCCCAAAGCATTTAATAATACTGGCTTGGCGCCTGAGCTAGTAAATTCATAAAATTTACCCATCATGGCAGCCAAGCATATCTGATGCACATTAATTCTCTGATGGCCTTACTCATGTGAGTCTACCAATGGGATGGCTGAAAGATCATTTAGCCCAACAAACATAACATTTTGATTGGTTCATTCCACACAGTGAGTACATGATTTTTTGCTTTAATAACGTATTCCAGAAATCTATTGCCTTTTGTGTAGAAAAAATAGTTCCACCTAACTTTTCTTCTAACTCCTATCATCCTCACTTGTGCCCTTTTGGATAATTTGCCAGGATCAGCTTTTCCAGTTTGATTCAAAATTGTGCAAAACTTGACTAAGTCTGCATTAAACTTTATCCTGGCATGAAAGGTGCTATATAAATGTAAATTGTATTGTACCTTGTGTTTTCCAAAGAATAGTAGTCTACCTTGCTTAACCATTCTTTGCAATATTCCTGATGCCTGATATTATCTTCATTACTTGGCTGTGCACCTTCTCAAGTGCATTTAATATTTCTACAGTTAGAAATGAATTACCTAAAACTACCCATGGTATGTCAGATAAGATCCAATATGCCTTACAGAGTAACAATAAAATTTCTTTTGATGCAGCGTTATTTTAACCAGTAAATTTGATTTTAATGATACAGGAAGGACATAAGAGTAGTTTACAATGGTATTGCAGTTGTTATTTTTGGCATAAATTGTGCCAAGTGCTTAACAGTCTACAGGATCGGTTACAGGCCTTTATATCATAGTCAAACTCTTGATTGTTGGTGCACACATTATCTGCAATTATCTTGGCACCTGAGCTAGTAAATTCATAATATTTATGTGCCAGCTGCTGTTTTGACATATTCACTTGGTTTAATTTAATAAAAATATTTGTAACATACCACAAATGTCTCTTCCCCAATCTTTCACAATGATCCCATTAGCAGCGCACTCATGAGCGTATGCTCCCAATCCAGCACACAGGCAGTCATTGATGTCCTCGCAGGCACAGGTTGCCGCTACACACATCTACAAAATAGAAGGATTGACAGCTAAAACTGCAATTATGTATTTATATCTGCGATTTAGAATTATTTTACATATTATACAAAAGTAAATCTAGACGTTTAAGAATAGCAAATTAAATTAACAGGGAAATGAATAATAATAATAATACTTCTGTGGCTATAAAAAAAATCTCTCCTTTTATCCAGTCTTGTCAATTGTCTTAAAACACCATTCCTCTGGTTCAAGGGAGTACAGCCCAGTATGCCCATGCTGCCCTCATAACTAAGTCCCTTCAATCCAAGTATTATTGTGATGAATAACAATATAATAATCCTTGCATTTGATATAGCGCCTTATCACATCTTTGAGACATCACAAAGCACTTCACAGAATATACTGGAAAATGTACATTTTGTTGGCGAAACGCGGCAGCCAATTGCACACAGCAGTGTCCCACAAACAGTTGTGGTTTGGGTGACCAAATTATTGTTTGCTTTTTTTTGAAGGGATTATTACCCCCAGAAAAGTGATCCGCCATTCAACTGACAACCATGTTTTTACTTACTGCTAAGTAAACAGAGAGGTGTGGAGTAAGGAAAGTTCTTTAATGTTTCACCATGCCTGGGAATCGAACCCAGGTCAAGGCGAGCACTCCAACCAATTTGAATCCTTGCGAGGGAAGTAATCTAACCAATTTTGACTTTCGTAATTCCAATATTAACAGAATTCAGGAACTATTTCTCGGGTCAACATTCCTGTCAGCCTATCACTGAATTAAACTCCTAACAGTATTATAAGCGCTCCAGGACTTTATCCCTTGTGCAGGGTGCTTTAAGTTGTTGTTGTTGATATGTTTTTTTTCAAGTCAGGTTTAGTTGCATCTTTAATGATGATGACCTGGACCATTTTAGGTGATGACCTGGACCAATAGAAAAGTGCAGCTGCAATTTTTTCGGGGAATCCTACAAACACCCTCTGCTACAAACCTGTAAAAATGCAGTGTTTTCGGTCCTGGGCCTCTGTGTGCTGGTGCTGGCATGCCCGGTGTTGCTCGAGCTTTGCTCACCCCTCGCTGTTAAGATTGTCTGTGCTTCTCTCTCCTCTGTATGTGTGGGTCTCTCTGTGTCTATGAGTGTTTGGCTTTCTTTGTCTGTGAATGTATGTCTCTGAGTGTGTGTGTCTCTCTCTCTGTGAGTCTCTGTGAGTGTGTGTGTCTCTGTGTCTGTGAGCGGTGGCAGCCCTTAGAGGCAGGAGGTGTTGACCTCCTATAGCCCACAGTCAGGACACTGGCGAGTTTGGCAAGCAATCTCGCCGGCCACCCAATTTTGTTAAAGGAAGCATTAATAATTTTTTTGCAACATTCTAATATGTGTTATTTCTTCATGTTTCATTTTACCAATTAAGTGAAAAAATGTAACTTTCAATAGCACCAATCAACTCCCCTCAAGTTTCCACAAAAATGTGTCAAATTCCCCACAATGTTTGGCAAATATTTCCACAATTTTCTGTTGGCCCTGGTGATAACGTTGTATCTGCTATTACGTGTTTATTACTTTTGCCAACACTTGTGCCTCTCTCGAGGAATATTGCACCACCATTCCCCTAATACCAGACCACCTGTCCTTCCACATTCCACATCAGCACAATCTGGAAGGGCAGACCAGTCACTGGCAGCAGGGAGTCATCCCACTCAGCTGCTGTTAACCCTGCAATCCAAAGCCCTAATGGGTGGAGTGAAGCAAAGGGAAAGCTTGCCAGACAGTGATATCAATGGTAAGCTACATGGTTTTAGCTGGTTAGACTCCATGAATATCCTAACAGTTCTTGGCTCTTGCCAGCCTGCACCGAATACTTTTGGAAATTAGGTAAGCAGGATGGTTTCCTCCAGGGAGAAAGTGAGCATTCCAACAATCTATCTCTGGGATTTCCATGTATGGGTAGGATACATGGAATTCTCAACTTGGTAAGAATACTCTTAAGCATGGTGATGGGTTTCCTCATGAATCAGACAACAGGCTGACCAAAGAAAAATGTAAATCGAAAAATAATTGTATCCATTTTTTCTACAACTTAAATTACTGTCAAGCTTCCTCTTCCTTCAGAGTTGTGACTGTTTGATTTAGCATAAATCTTTTGTGAATTCCTGTTCATTATACATTTTTTTAAATATCATCACTAGAAAGCATTTGCACTTTTATGTAGGTTTAATACAATAATATTTTTTGGAGGTGGCCTGTTGTCCTTGTTATTGATAAAAAATAATCAAAGGTAATTGCCATCAAGTTTAGTGACTGTATTTTTAGGTGAACATTGTAGACAATTTGCACACACCAAGGTACTATAAACAGGCATGTAGAGAAAAATCAATTTATCTGGAAGATTCCTGTAAGAATTCTTGCTTACTTCATAGTATTTGATGTAATCCACTGCAGGATGACACGCAGCAAAAACATCTTCAGAATTTCTTAGCAACGAACAATGCTGTTTTGCATACTTTTCTGTAAAATAAGTATAAGACTTTTATTAGAAATAAGTAGTATAGTCCTAGGCATCTTTAAAAGCTGTCAGAATTACATGTACTTTCAAACATTAAATCAGAAATACAATCTCAGATTTATCTCAAACACTACATCAAGACTTTCACTCGCTCATCCTTCCCTCATCTTTGCACCATTGCCCCTCCACAACTCTCTCTCCAACTATTGGGTGCTGAGACCCTATTTCATGCCTCCATCATATCCAATCTTACTATTTGAACCCTTTGCTTGTCAGACTTCCCAGCTATTCTCTACACAAATCATATATCATCCAGAACTCTGCAGCCCCCGTCCTCTCCTGCATCAGTCTCATCCACCCATTATCCCCATCCTCACTTGGCCTCACTGCAGATTGAATTCAAGATCCTGTGCTAACTTTCAAATCCCTCCACGGCCTCACCTCACACTACAACTCCAACTTTTTGCTACCCAACTGCTCCTCTGGCATTCCCTCCGCTCAATAAACACCAGATGAGCTTTCAGCCATTCTTTCAGCTCTCACTCTCTGGAACTCCATCCCAGAGTTGTTTGTCTTGTTCCACTTTGTCTTCTCCCTCCTATCTCAAAACCCAGCTTAACACCTATTTTTTCAGCTGCACTTTCGAGCACCCTGCTCCCCTGCTCTCCCACTGAAGCTCAAGTTAGTGCTCCAAGTTAGTTAGTGAAATGCTTTGAGATATCCTATTTTCTTCTGACATGAAGATAATATATAGATGTAAATTGTTGAAGTTATGATCACTTCACAAGAGTCCATACCGTTTTAGATTTACACATTGGAATTTTGTTTAAAATGAAATTGCAACATTATCAAGTTGGTGCAAAACAGAATTAACTAGGTTTGAATAAATAAGGACCAGGGTAGGGTTTCAGAAGATTACATAATAATAATCCTTACATTTGATATACATAAGAACATAAGAAATGCTAGATGGAAACAGACCATCCTTGAGGTTGCATGCACATATGTCCCGAACTACCAATGTACTATATCCCATAATGTTATTTCCTGAAAAAAATCTGATCTGTATTTGGAGGAATCAAACAGATTCATGTAACAGTCTTGTAAAAATCAAGCTATCACTCTAGTTTGATGGAACATTACCATTTTCTGAACTAATGCAAGGAGAAGGCAATGTTGGGTCAGGACATTTGTCCCCAGTCTTCCAGGAATTCGCAAAAGTAACAGCTGAATCCTCCACAATTCCCTGTATAGTTCGAAAGTCATCGCTTGCATTGTCATTGAAGGTGCCACATAAACCTGGAAAAAACATTACACATCATCACAAAAAGCACTTTCTCATAATTTTGCGTTGTTATTTTGGCGGAAAGTAAAAAAAATGTTCTTAAATGAAAACAAAAACAGAAGTCGCTGGAAACACTCAGCATCTATGGGGAAAGGAAAATGAGTCGATGTTTCAGGTCCATGACCCTTCGTCAGAACTGGGGCATGTTAGGAGGGAGGGGCTTTTAAGGGCAAACAGAGAGGGGGGAAGCAGGACAAGGAAGACAAAGGAGAAAATGGGGAGAGGACAGGGCATGATGGGTTAAAGAGGTGTTAATGATGCAAAACAAAGGGGGAGATTGCAACAAAGCAGGGAATAGCTATTTTCTCCTTTGACATTCATTCATCTTTGTGAGGCAATGTTATAATTCACATCTAACATAACTATTTCTAAAAAGAGAAATTCTTTCCTTTATGACTTGTAGTTAATGAACTGCTAATAATATTCTAGCAACACATCTGGATAAATCAATTTAAATACAAGAAACAACCCTTTGCACAATTTCTGGCATCTTTTTATATATGACAACAGGATGATGCAGAGGTAGATTTAACTATCCAACTATCAGAGAGAAGATCTAATCCCAAAATAATCTATTGCAAGAGCTGATATTTCAGGATTGATAGAAGTTTAAGATAAATGATATTGTCAACATTTTAGAAAGTTATAACTGGATAATTGGTAGTTGTGAATAATAATAATAACAACAGTAGTAATCCTTGCATTTTATATAATAATAATAATAATAATAATCCTTGCATTTGATATAGCGCTTTTCACGTCAGGAGGACGTCCCAAAGCGCTTCACAGAACACACTGTAAAGTGAATTGACTGTATATTTTTGTGGGCGAATAGTGCCTTATCACATCATTGAGGCATCTCAAAGTGCTTCACCGAATATACTGCAAAGTGGATTGACTGTATACATTTTGTGAGCGAAATGTGACAGACAGTTGCGCACAGCAGTGTCCCACAAAAATCATAGAAAGAATGACCAAATTATTGTTAATTTATTTTTCAAAGGATTATTACTCCCAGAAAGTAATCTGCCGATCGAATAACAACTGGGTTCCTACTTACTGCTAGGTAAACAGAGGCGTGTGGAGTAAGGAAACTTTCTTAAGGTTCCGCCGGCCAAGGAATTGAACCCAAGACCTCTCGCTTATGCGAGGCGAGCACAATAGCCACTACACTGTAAGACTCCTCTTCAAGTCGCAGATTTGACCATCCACCTCAGAGGCAGTATTGAAGATTAAAAAGATCTACCTTGCAATTTATCATCTGATTTTGCCAGTTCCCAGTTCCAGACTCCTCCCCAACCAACTGAATACGATTTCCCAATTCCCAATGGGATCATTGCAACCTAAGTTACTGTTGGTTTGTGCATTTCTACACAAAAAAGTGTAATTTTTATGCATTTTAGCCATACCTTTTGTGCTTCCTTTTGCATCTTCAGGCACTGAAATGTAAAGCTGCATGATGGGTGAAAACTGTACTTGCATTTTCAATCCGAATTCTGTTGCCACTTGAAGATACATTGAGGACTGCTGAAATATTGTTATTTCACCTGTGTGTAATAAAATGTACAGATTTCACTTATATGTAAACTTTTTATTTAATTATTATCAGAGGAGGATAAGAGTATTTCTATACCTGTTTTCAGAGGCAGCACAACTTCATATTGATTAGAATAAACACTGCCATCATTAGTGAATCTGTATTTGTTCTATAAAATAAGATGTTAACATATATTATTTCAAGAAACCATATTGCCAGGACAAAAATTCTAAAGTTTAAGAACATTAAATATTTATACCTTTAGTATCTTCAGTACAACAAACTGCAGACATGTCTGCTTAATTGCAATTTGACACGGGTGTAGCTCTACAGTTATTTCCCATTTATTTGTCTGTCACGAGAATGGAGAAAGAGCATCATCGTTAAAAAATCAGATATTTGTGCATCCAGTATGGTTGGATGCACTGTACAGTTGCAAATTAATTGTCAAAACTGTAGCAGCTAATATGATAAAACCTCACATACTAAAACAGCAGAGAAAGAACAGTCTCCTATCATGGTGTAGTAACTATTATCAAATGTGGTGATGTGGGATCCTTGTTCAATTTTGCACCTCCCAGGGCAGCTCAGTTGAGAACATGACCATATTCCACTCTTACAGGTGCTGCAGAAAAAAATACATTGATTCATAAGCAAATGAATTTCAAGAAATTCAAGATCAAAGTCTATATGACCCCCCACTGAAAGCCATACCATGACTGACAGGAAGTTGTTCTTTCATCTCCAGATTGATAAATAGTGCCACTGTATTCACAGGGGCATTCTGCTTTGGGGATGCATTGGTTTGTGCCTCCTGTATCATCACGAACAGTGCCTACAATGCATCAAAATAAATATCTTAAGTGAACATGTATGCATACAGAAGCTTTTACTTTAATTACAGAACAAACTCATTGTAACATTTTTATTCTGCCATTATTTCAAAAGTTAATTTTTATGTTGAGGTATCTTAAAGTTAATGGATGGTTAAATTAAATTTTAATTTTGAAAAAAATATTAACTCCTTATGATTGATATATTTTTTCTCCCTTTTAGCAGTCGTTAGCCCATCATGCACTACTCCCAGATTAAAGCTGGGCAACCACTGTCCTTTACCAAAGCACTGGAATATGAAGTACAGTGAACAGAAAAAAAAACCATCATCTTTCCTTCCCTTTCTGGAAATGTTTTATTTTAATTCTCTGATGCCCAGACATTAGTAAAGAAACATTGCAAAACATTTAGGTCCCTGGGTAGTTAGCTTTGATAACAGTTTGTAATAGGCTTTATGTTAAAAAAAAACATAATTACCTTCTGGACAGACACAAGTATTGACACATTGGTCACAGTGTTGGTGAGATTTAGGATCAGAGCATGTTGGAAGACAAGCTGGACCACATTCCTTGTAGATCTGACCTTCAGTACAGACTGGCTGTTCTGAAATATAACAGACAATACACTTTACGTGTCAAGCATTTACGATTCTGTTAAATTGCTAAATACCAACAAATATAAACTGAGGTATTTGCTCTGTGAGGAATGGCAATGGCACTTATGGAAGGGTTACAGAGGGATTTAGAGGTCCTTTACAGGTTGAATTAGGGCAGCATAATCACTGCGTTGACTTTGCGCATACTGGGCTAACCTACACCCAGCCAACGTATGACAAAAAACAGGTTTAATTTAAAAGTGAAAAGTACTGTTTTTATTTTTTAATATGAAAAACAACTCACCACATCCGGTTTCTAATCTCCAGTGCCCCCACAGAAGAATAGTTTCTTTATCACATTCCCGCGCTATTTCTGCCAAAGTAGGACATTTACACCGTTCCCCTGTACATGAACAAATATCTGCTTTGGCGATTTCCAAATATTCATTCATCACACTCTTGTCAAAACATGACAGGAACAGATCAGAGATATCTTTACAGTCCTGAAATACCAAAGAATAAACAGAATGTCACGTAATGGAGAGAAAAATTCTGAAAAGGCTTCACACCTGTTTTTTTTTATCTATTTTACTTGGATGAAGGAATAGAAAATTGTATATCCAAGTTTGTAGACGACATTAAGCTAGGAGGCTCAGTAAGATGTGTAGATTGGAGTAGGAAGTTACAAAGGGACTTAGACAGATTAAGTGAGTGAGCAAAGCTGTGGCGAATGGACTTCAATGTAGGGAAGTGCGAGGTCATCCACTATGGACTGAGCAAAGATAAAGCAGAATATTTTCTTAATGGGGAGAAGTTAAGAACTGTGGAGGAGCAAAGAGATTTGGGTGTCCATATTCACAAATCACCAAAAACTAGTTCCCAGGTCCAAAAAGTAATCAAAAAGGCGAATGGAATATTGGCTTTAATCTCAAGGGGCCTGGAATAAAAGGAGACAAAATGATTCTTCAGCTGTATACAGCATTAGCCAGACAACATATGGAGTACTCCGTTCAGTTTTGGGGACCTCAGGAAAGATACATTGGCCCTGGAGGGGGTGCAGCGCAGGTTCATCAGAATGTTACTAAGCCTAAAAGGGTTAAGTTACAAGGAAAGGCTGCGTAAACTTGGATTGTAATCCCTTGAGTTTAGAAGGTTGGGGGGTGATTTGTTCAGGTATTTAAGATGATAAAGGGATTTGTTAGGGTAGATACAGCGAAGCTATTTCCTCTGGTGGGGGAATCCAAAACAAGGGGGCATAGTCTTAAAATGAAAACCAGGCTAATTAAAAGTGAAATCAGAAAGCATTTTTTCACTCAAAAGGTGGTAGAAATCTGGAATTCTCTCCCCCAAAAGGCCATGGATGCTGGATCCATCCACACCTTCAAAAGTGAGGTTGGTAGATTTTTGGTAGGTCAGGGTATTAAATGATATGGGGAAAAAGCGGGAAATTGGAATTGAAAGGATTAGTTGAGGTACAGATCAGCCATGATCTAATTAAATGGGGAGCAGGCTCGAAGGGCTGAACGGCCTCCTCCTGTTCCTATGTTCCTATTTTCCGATACTTGTGACTTTCCATGTGTAGGTGGGCTGCATGGAACTCTCAGTTTGATTTGGATACTTAAACCTGGTGATAGGATTCTGCATATGTCCAAGTTACTCGCTGACCAAAAATAAAGCTATCAAAAACAGAAACTAGTCTACTGAAAGTTCTACATTAAATGGAGAAAAGTAATAGTGGAATAGCTTGACATATCCATTTGATGATTTCTTCAATATTGCAAAGGTAACATTAGAATAAAGATTTGGGGAATAGTGGTTGGGACCAGTGGAAGTCAATAACAGTAAAGATGGAAGGTAAAGAGAGTCTGAGAATAAGACTCAACTATATGGGCTTGTTCTGTTCAGAAAAAAAAGCTGAGAAGATATATGAGACACAAACCAGGTCTTTCAAATGATATGACACAATCAATGTGGATGTAATCCTACTATTTTTCTTTGACCTTGAACAAGAAGCCATAGGTATAGATTTAAGTCCCTAAGCAGGACTAGACCTTTCAGTTTAACATTTCACCTGAAGGACATCACCTGCAACAATGCAGAGCTCCCCGAGCATGGCACTGCAGCGTCAACATAGATTGTGAGTTCAAAGTCCCAACATGACTCACAAGCAAGAATGCTTCCAACTGAACCCGGCTAACACTTATTCCACGTATTCACACTTTGTGTAAACTGATTCAATTTAGAATGGCACTAACAGTTGGTGTTCACCTTTTTCCACACCGCAACTTGACAACAGCTTAGCACAAACTCAAACTTCTGAGCCAGAAACTATTTGGCATCTGGTGCTATTGAACCACATTGCGGAAGAATAAAAAAGAATCACAGCATTCATAGGAAAAGATAAGGAGAAACTTAGAGGAGGAAAAAAACGTAGAAAAATAGAAAAAGCATGTTGTTTTGAAGTGGTGTCAAGTGAAGTAATATTGTCAGGATGATGCTTTATTATACATTGTTTCTCTCTCACTCATGTTATATTTGATCTGCAGCTGATGTCACAGGCTGTAAAGTGGAAAAGTGTTCCATTTGCCCAAATAATACCCCTTCTCTTTAATTAACACAGGCGTATGCATATGGAAGAAAATCTAGTATAGGAACTTTTAAGACTGAAGGTTGTCTTTAGATATAAACTTACACTGTCTTTGCACAAGTTCGAAGAAGAATTGCTAAAACACGTATGTCCCAATGAATCTAGTTTATTTTCATTGAAAAAAGTTGTATCTGAAAAATAATAATGTTCATAAAAAACACCTGTACAATATGTGCATCCAACTAATGGCAATGAAGTAGTCAAATTACACGACACTTATCAATTATATAACCAGAAACATATCTGAACAAAACTCAGTTTTTTACCATATGTAGTGCTGGTGTCTTCAAAATTCCCACAAAGGCCACATAATTCCCCTCGGTATTTTGTGTCAATTGTTACCTGGAGCACAAGGGAAATACATTAATACAAATAATCCTTGCATTTGATATAGCGCCTTATCAGTGTCTTCGAGATATCTCGAAGCACTTCACTTAGAATATACTGTAAAGTGAATTGACTGTATATTTGGTGGGAGAAACGTGACAGCCAATTGGGCACAGCAGTGTTCCACAAACAGTCGTAGATTGAGTGATCAACTTATTTTTAATATTATTTTTATTATTTTGAAGGGATTATTACCCCAGAAAAGTGATCCGCCAATCGACTATGAACTAGGCTCCTACTTATTGCTAGGAAAACAGAAGCGTGTGGAGAAAGGAAACTTGCCCAACGTTTTTCCCTGACCGGAAATTCAGATCCTCTCACTTATGAGGCGAGTGCTCTAACCACTAAGCTACAGGACTCCAAATACAAAGTTTATAAATAAATGTATCCATGGTTTTGCAATTCCAAATCTGGATAAAGGCAATACAAAATGGATGTGTTTCCATGTTCTGATTATCTATAATAATAATAATCCTTGCATTTGATAAAGTAACTATAATATTTCGCTATACATTTGCTTCACTGTACATTTGAAGGCAAACATGGCAGGCAATTAGCACACAGCAAAGTCCCACAAACTGCCTCAAAGTGAAATGACCAATAATATCTGATGCCAAGGTTCCAGAGTGGCTTAGTAAGGTGGAGTGTGCAACCGTGGATGGTGATGCTGCCAGTGCATGCGGTGTGAAGGTGCCAATCACGAAGAACCATGAAGGTTGAGGTGAGAGTAGAGGCATTGGATGAGGATAGAGTGGTCAAAGGCAGCAGGAGATTGAGGAGAGGAACAGGGCAGAGGGAGTTCTGGTCACAGATGGACAGTATGTCATTTGTCACTTTGACCAGGGCTGTTTATGTGCTGTTGGCTGCACGGAAAACCGATTGGAGGGGTTCATGAAGGGAGTGGCAGGAGAAGAAGGAGTGAAACTGGGAAGCAACAAGAGCGATGCAACTGACCGGTCAGCTTCCTGCATGCCATGTGTGCTTTAAACCTATGCTAGTGCCAGCTCTTACACTCGAGCTAAATATTCCAATGCTAATTCTTTATCCTTCCTCTTCAAATGTTCATCTAATTCCCATTGAAATACTCTTATGGTCTTAACCTCAGTAGCCACAAGTTCTCCGTTCACCTGATTTGCAATATGCACTCAAACAAGATTAAAACAGAATAAAAAGGAATATTTAAAAACAACTTACCGACAATGCATCTTTATTGTTCCAGATCAGAGACAGAGTACGCTTCCTGTTGGAAAGCCGGGTGTAAACTCCATATTTGTGTATTATGATCACCTTGTCATAATATGGCAGTTGTACTCTATGAAAATAGACAAATGTTAAAAGCTATCCTCAACTGAATTAAGGAAATTCAAATAAAATTAATGTTTTCTCAGCAGGGGCACACAAGGAAAGCCCCATTAGATTCCATGCCCAGTATCTGCTAAATTAGTCAATCTTATCTGGGGTGACAGCTTCTATTGACCTCAGCAAGTAAAGTTTTGCATTTGAAATAGTGCCTTTTATGTCAAGAAAAAAAAAAACAATAATAAAGTTTGTGGGACACTGCTGTGTGCAATTGGCTGGCGCATTTCACCCACAAATATACAGTCAATTCACTTTACAGCATATTCTGTGAAGCGCTTTGAGACGTCTGGAAGACTATATCAAACGCAACGATTATTATTATTATTATTAAGAGGATGTCTCACAGGACGTGATGACACAGAAGTCAGCTATTTTTTCTTTCACAGTGGAAATCAGCCGTTGGGTGGGCAGTGAGCCAGCCGGCCTTGTGATTGCAAGGTCAACCCTGTTAGTGAGCTTCCCCAAAGAACACATTGGTATTTTGTGGATCCCAAACACTACATTAGCTTGAGCCTAATTTTAGTTGGTGTGATAATTATTACTGGTAACACTTATCGTATCCCATATAACAAATTTTTCATCCCATGATTCATTTTGTAATCCAATAAAAATAGTTACCTTAATATTTAATGTTAACCCTAGATATGCTGAAATGTTCGCTAAATGGTTTGAAGCTGAAATCAAATAGCAAATGAGAGCAAAACTTACTTTGCATTTTGAACTGTAATTTTCAAGTCTTCAACAATAACAAGAACACCTTCTATAGTGATCGACATGTGTTCCAAGTTGCCATTTGTGTCTCGGCGGATTTGTATGTTAAAGTCTGCGCCACCTTTGCATTGGCGGCTCAGAACATAGTTGCAGTTTGAGGTAAAGTGGTAGAACCGATCGTGAAATGTCCTGTATGCTCCTCTTCCCCATGTGCTACAAGACACTGAAAAAAAATCAGAAAGTCCAATTTTGGTATTATCTCAAAATTTCTGAAAGTATAATATTCATAAAAACAAGGTACCAGAGGGCAATAGGCACCCACAAGCCTATATCCCAGCAACAAGTTAGTATTTTCAAGATAAGAGGGGAAAATTGTAAGAAGACTCTAATGTTACATTTAGTTATTCAAGTGTCGGGGAGATGTGGAGAGGTTGCATTAGGTCAGGACATTGTTCCTTCTCTCTGAGACCTGGGGTTTGGTACACCTGATTGATGAAATGAAAATTAGGCTCTACTGACTGTACGGTTCGTGTGTGAAATATGTTTAACCAAACTCAACCTAGTCACTCGGAACTCAGAAATGGTGAAAGTATAGCTGGTGTGAGAAAAACTAAGTCACCATGAAGCAGCAGTGTGTGTTCTTTTGAGGTTGTGTTAAAGCATTTAAAAATTAGCTTCTCATTTAAAAAGCAGCTTGATCATGTGATGTATCTCTTATGCAGGGTGTTCTGGAAATATGAGATCGGATGGACTGAAGGAACTTTTTCATTCAAAAGATTCTGTGATGATGTTAAGGGAATATTAGATTGAGTTCTACTCTGCATTTGGCTGCATAACACTTGTCTGGGAGTCTGATGGTTTGTGGACGACTCACCAGAATAGAAATGTTTTTCATTCCTCAGTACTGAGAGCCATTAACATGATAGGTACAACAAATTACAAAAATCCAGTACTATGATCTAAAAATCAAGCTTCTAAGTAAGAAGCAAAAATATATACTTACCGGTGCTGCCATTCAAAGCCGTTTCCGTCAATGCTTTTGGGATAAGCGAGAAAGCAAATTCTGAATGTAAAAAAATGTTTATTAGAAATATTGTACACGGGTATTGCATTTTTAAAGAACCTGTGTTGAAAAAAATAGAAGTTGATGTAATAATAGATTGTTGGTGTGGCTTCACATGGTATGTTTCTACTGTTTCTACTGTATCATTTATAGATTCAATTGGAATAAAATGTTAAACCTAGAGTGCCCCTTAAATTAGAATAACATTTTAAACCTAGAGTGCACTTTAAGAGTTTCATTAAAACAAATATATCCCAATGCCACAATTAATTCCTCTGCATATCCTTTGAGATCGTTCTTGAACTAATCATAAATAAGGCTGCATTTTGCATTATTTGTGAAACAGGTTTGTTTTTCCTAAACTGTTGAAAGCAATTTTCTTCCCTTCAAATTTGTTAGATGTTGCGATATTTATTTTTGATTCATTGGGGTTGAAAAGTGCAATGCCTGGCACAATCATAAAGCACCCTGAAANTTTTTTTACATGAGCAGCAAGTATATAGATGCGAGTTGTTGTTATTATAATAATCACACTGTATATCACATTTTCTGCTCTAAATAAATTATTATTCTTAATAGAATAATAATCACTCAGTTAAAGTTAGGCTGGTAACCAATGACATGGCATTGAGACTCTGAGTTTCGCAGGTAGCAACTACATCTGTTTAACTCAATTAAACTTTGCCTCTATTGCTGGAACAATTTGTGAAATTGCAGCAATAAAAAAAATATTTAAAACAAGTCCTGAATCTAAACCAGGCAATTTTATTGAGGGATCTTCCTTTCAAGGAAGGAATGGGATATCTAATGCTAAAAATTCTCTCTTATGGAGTCCTGTAGCTCAATGTTTAGAGCACTCGCCTTGCAAGCTAGACACCTGGCTTCAATTCCAGGCAGGGTGAAACTTGGGTAAGTTTCCTTACTCTACACACTTAATAATATTCTCTCCCAAAACAAAACAATAATAAATTGGTCATTTTCAATCCACGACTGTTTGTGGGACACTGCTGTGCACAATTGGCTGCCGTGTTTTGCCCACAAATATACATTCAATTCACTTTACAGCATATTCTGTGAAGTGCTTTGAGACGTCCAGAAGACTTGAAAAGCACTGTATCAAATGCAAGGATTATTATTATTATTATATAAGCCTATGGAAAATGAGAGTTGTTATCTCATTTAAATTCTATAATAATGATGGGCCTTTAGAAATGGGAGCCTCTATGGGCTGTTCACATTTCTGAACATGTTTCTGACTATATAAAAACGGACCTTTTTTTTTCCTTCAACTTTCCCTTACCCTCCCAGCCCCCCCCATAAAAATAAAGCTGGCGAATGAAATTGATTTTGATAAATTTTGAATCTCTTTTCTCTTAAAATTAAGGCCATTGGTGGTAGGTGGCATTCAACTGGACAAACACACACAGGAAATTGATGATGAATTGAAAAGGTGTTACAGGAGAGTGGACTTGCTCCTAGTTAAACATAAATTCAAATCCAGTAATAGAATAAAACCCTTGTATATTACTAAGTTCATTAGTAGTTCATTAGCCTTGGGCATGGACAGGAAATGATGAAGGAATCTCTAACTTCCTTTTCAATTCCAATCAATGAATATGCTTAATTGTTAAAGTGTTGTGCCAAAAGATTATTAAGTGATGCTGTATCTTTACAGCTAGAAGCAAATTCATATGACAGGTAAACTGTAAGCCATAAATTCCACAAGTATATTACGCACCAACATAAAATAATTTAAAATCACTCCAAATATCTGTTGGAACAGGATTGTTCCATTAAAAGCGCTTCCCTTCACAGGGAAGAGTTGGCAAAGGTATGGTCAAAGAGGAGATCTTGAGATGGACTTTCAAAAGAGGCAAGGGAGGGGGTGAGGCAGAGAGATTCTGGGATGGAGTTCAAGAGGGTGGGAGTTGGGGACAATGGAGCAGGCCAGTGCCGGCCAAGTGAAGTGAGCGGGCAGGTTGGCATGGTGCTAATAGTTTGCATAACCATGGAGAGCTTTAAAAATGAGAAAAAGGATTTTAAACTCAATCCTCTGAGAGATAGGGAGCCAGTTGAGCTTGGCAAGAATGGGATTGATTGGTTCACAGAGCTTGGTGCAGGAGAGGAGAGGAGCTGCAGAGATAACCTGCAGTTTGTGGAGGGAAGAGTTGGGAAGTCCGGTGAGCAGTCATTCAGCGTAGTAGAGCCTGGACGTGATGAATAGAAGACCAGCAACTTATAATATAACTGCACAGTTGTTATTTAAACACACAAGTTGGGCTTCTGCATGTGTCATTCAACACCTGCCTGACCAAATAATGAAATAAATATTTAAAATGTAAAAAAAGATAATATGATTTCCATTATCCTCCTTGGAGGTGGTAAGGTAGATGACGTGATTGGTGAAGGCTTGCCTATAAATTTCACAGTCATTACACTTTATAGTATATTACTTTGAGATGTCTTCCATAGTGAAAGGTGCTAAATCAAATGCAATGATTATTATAATTAATAAGTATTGATAATATAATATGAATTATTATTAAAAAGGTCCACTCAATTTTCCTTGGTGGATTTCCACTGTTGATAATTGATTAGTCTACTTGACTCATCAGTTGTAGATATGTTACTAGAGTTGGAATGCTTGATTCCTGATTAACCTGTCTCTCAATATCATCTCTAAAGTTAGGAAGAAAGCTAAATTTAGTTGTTTAATTGATAAGGATATTTTAGCAACAAATTTGAAACAAAACTTAGTAAACTTGGCAAAGAAAATTAATATTTTGGATAAAATTATAACTATATGTAATGTACTTAAACGTGCTGTCTAATCTTAAAACATCCCATAATGTATAAAAATATCTTACCTTCATATAAGGTCAGAGACCAGAGAACAAGCCACAAAAAGTTTTTCATTGTACTAGTTTTGCACTAGTGTCATCCCAGTGAGTTGCTCACACCAGGCTACATCAGTTTATATACCTAAAGCTCTTCATCTCATTTGAATAGATAAGGAAGTTCAGAACACTGGTGCATTCTGCTGGGAGGATTTCTTTCGATATTTGATTAACTCTTTGAGCACTGAAACAACTGTTCAGTTTTTTTTAACAAAGGTGTTTTTCTTTCATAATAAATACAAGTTTCACAATTTTATTGTGCTTACATATACTGACAATATTTTCATAACTGCAGCTGTCTTCACAACGTTGCACGTACGACTTTATTACACTGTAGAAACCAGGGTCTGTCATAGAGAAATTTGAGTGGCAGCTTGGAATTATACTAGCAGCTCTGAATCACATTCTTGCTGACTAACATTTAAGCAAAACAAGTGACAACACTAGATAAAGTTTACCATTTGGCAAAGCTTGTTATTTTTTAAATGTTATTAAAAACTCACTTTGCATTAGTTGCAGTTATATTGCAGCCAATGCAAGTCTATTTTATTGAATGGTCTTGTTCCATTCCCTAGATTCAAATTTCATCTTTAAAATTACTCTTAGAATAGGAGTTTTCAACAATTCAATGAGAAAATTAAATTAAACTAACACAGACACAGTAAAAGGTGTGTCAGCCTGACTCAGTGGTAGCACTCTCAAATCTGAGTCAGAAGGTTGCAGCTTCAAGTCCCACATAGGCTTTTGGAATCACATAGTTTATCTGACACTCCAATGCTGTACTGGGGATGTGTTGCATTGTCAGAGGTGTCATACTTGGTCGTTCACTCCATGGTTGTTTGTGGGACACTGCTGCGCGTAACTGGCTGCCGCCTCTCACCCACAAAAATACACAGTGAATCTGCTTTACAGTATATCCTGTGAAGCGCTTTAAAACGTCTCAACGATGTGTTAAGGCATTATATCAAGTACAAGGATTATTATTTTTATTATTATTATTAAAAGCGATCTATCAAATACTCAATGGGGAGTACAGTTTTTGAATCTCGCCCAGGAATAACACTGAGTATCATTTTTTTACTAACATTTCATGTAGCATTTTTCAACAACAACAACTTGGATTTATATAGCGCCTCCACGCCGGACGGCGTCTCAGAGCGCTTCACAGTAACGGATCCCGGGGCCGAGCCAGGGGAGGGGGAGAAAGGTGACCAAAGGCACGGTCGAAAAGAAAGATCTTCAGCCGAGACCTGAAAATAGGAAGTGAGAGGGAGCGAGACGAAGGGAGTGAGGAAGGGAGTTCCAGAGCCTCAGGGCATAGTGGCTGAAGGCATGGCCACCAATGGTGGAGCGGAGGACTCGGGGGACAAGGAGGAGGCCAGACCCAGTGGAGCAGGTCAGGAGGATATGCCAAATCACTTCACAGGATATACTATAAAGTATATCTGTGTTTTGTGGGACAGTTCGCATTGCAGCCATGTCCCACAAACAGTCATGGAGTTAATGACCAATTTCATCTGGGGGCTTGTTGGCTGAGACATTAAGATAAATTCTATCTACTTTTCAAATAATGCGATGGGATCTTTAAAGTTCTCCCTGATTAGTCAGACAGGACCTCATTCAACATCTCATCAAAAGGACGGTTCTTCTGACAAACCAACACTGCCCTACTTGCCTCACTCAGACTATACGTCATATCCAATGCATTCAAAAACCTCGTCCACACTTTTGTCACCTCCCACCTCAATTATTCCTGTACCCTCCTTGCTGGTCTCCCCACGCCCACTGTCCACAAAATCCAACTAATTCAAAACTCCACCAGCCATATACTCAGCCACTCTAAACTCCATACTCCCAACAACAACAAATTCCACTTGTATAGCGCCCTTCATGTCAGAAAGACGTCCCAGGGCACTGGGGGTCAGGGTTTTTTGGACCCATACTAGCAGTTGGGGTCAGGAGGGGTGGAGGGCAGATGGGGTGCGGGTGGGAGGGTGGCCGAAGGCACGGTCGAAAAGGAAGGTATTTAGACAGGTCTTGAGAATGTGGGGGCAGAGATGCTGACTGTCTGACCGCCAATGGTGAATGCGGTCGAGCATTGACACCAGTCCTAGCCACTGGCTCACTATTACAGAACTCTCTCCCTCAATCCCGCCGCATCCTTCCCCTTTTTCAGACCATGCCTGAAAACCTTCCCATGCTTACGGTCACTTCCTGCTTCCCCTTGGCTCTGGGATGATACCCTGGGTGAAGGGCATTATATAAATTCAGGTGGTTGTTGTCCCAGTACTGTCCTGGAAAATCAGCCTACATTATGAGCTCAAGGCCCCAACAGGGGGCTTGAACCCACAACCGTCAAACTCAGAGGCATTAGTGATATTACTTGAGCCAGGTTGACACCTGTATCTGTGCGAAAATCTGTGTGAAAAATTATACAAGCAAAGTCTACTAACTCATGCGTGTGTCCACCCACCAGTGCATACATTTGAGTAGAGTCAATATAATAGCCTCCTGCACTCTAGCTGTTTCCTGTTCGAACTTCTAGAAAAACTGCATATTTTAGGACTCCCTCTTTATATTCACCCCATCTACACGGGGCCTACCTTTAAAAGCTGAATCCTAAGGTGAATACTCCCTTTGCCTCCAAGGGCCTACCAAACTGGCTTTTCCTGTTCTTCATGGCTGGATATAATTTTGCAACAGAATTTCTGGAAAGCATTTGTTTTGCCGGACAGCTTACAAATTCATTATATAGTCAGTGGTCAGTAAAAGAAGGTTGGGATCATAGGAATTTAGCCTTAAGGATCAGTATAATACCTCATCTGGAGGATAGCACTTCCAACAAAGCAGTGCTGCCCGGCAATGCACGAGGGAATCAGCCTAGACTAGACTATGAGCTCAAAGTCCCAACATGAAGATTGAACCCACCACCTTCTGATTCAGAGGCAAAAGGCCAAGGAAAACTTAGTGCAAGAGTTTGGATGAACTTCAATTCCATGTAAAAATTTATTCAGGTTAAGAAATATATAGTAGACAAGTTAATACTTGATAAACCTAAAGGTGTTTTGCTATCTTTCTGGGCATGCAAATTCATAAGTTTGCACAATATTTTAATACTTTAATCCAGGGTGGTTCAATAACTCTCTCTACCCTCTCTGTCTAATCCCTCTCTCACACAATCACTCACACACTCTCTCCCTCACTCACACTCTCACACAGATACTCTCTCCCCACTCTTTCACTCTCTCCCCCCTTTCACACTCTCTCTCAATCTCTCTCTCACTGCTCACTCCCTCTATCAATCACTCTCTCTCTCCCTCTCTGTCAATGACTCTCTCTCCCCTTCTCTCTCTACTCCCCACCCACATAGTCTCTCTCTCATTCCCCCTTTCTCACCTCTCAACCACACACTCTCTCCCCAAAATTCAATCACTTTCTGTTCCCCTTTCACACCTCTCTCTCCATTTCCCCTCTCCCCCTTCGCTCCCTCTTAATTCCTCTCTCTCCCAGTAAGCCACCAGTTCACTCTATGCAATGGCAGTAGTCGGCCGTTGGTAAGGAAGGCAGTAGATAAGCACTTCCTTTCCCCTCAGCTCGACTACACATTGCAATGGCCGGTATTATTCTTACTCTCCACACTGTGTCCTCACAACTGTTGACTGCTGCCTCTGCCCTGGGAGGACGTTCACCAGAGGTGGGGGGAGCGGAATTTGGAATATTGGAAATGGTCTTGACCCGGATAACATCAACCGCCAGGCCAGATGCAGCCCCCGGGCCGCCAATTGGACCACGCTGCAAACTCTGATCCTGGATTCAGAAATCTTGCCACTATCTGACATGGCCTGCTTTGTCCACATAATGATTCCCGTTATTGACCAATGGAAAGTTGGTAGCACTCTTGCCTCTAGGTCAGAAGATTGTAGATTCAAACCCCACATTGGGACAATGAACTCATAATCAAGACTGATATTACCGTACAGTGCTTGGAGAACACTAATTTGTCACAGATGGCATGTTTTGGATGAGATATTCCAATGACTTCCTGGCTGCCTGCTTCGTGGGCATTAAACATCCCACAGCACTATTCGAAAAAGGCAAATTTCTACAGATATCCTGGCTATCAATCGTCCAGGTAAAGTTCAGCATTCTCTTGACTATTTGTACAAATTCACAGTTACTACATTTCACAGAAATTTTGTGAAGCACCTTGAAACATTCTTGGTGCTATAGGCACTGTATAAAATACATTTTTTTTAAATGGAGTGTAATATGAAGCAGTGCTGTAGCAGAGCTGTAACTACAAAAGTTAATAATTTGCTGGACTATAGACTATATTCATTTTTTTCAATAATATAGACTGAAAGGCTATTTCTGCTCCTTACCCGTGTGGTAACTACCATGCCCAGCCATTATCCATCTTGCTTTGTTCATAATTAGTAAGCCATTAGTATAAGGTACCAATCAAACCATTGCTACTAATCACTATGTACATATGTTTTTTTTAATACAGTTACATTCTGAATTATTCTAAAAAGGCAAAATACTGCAGATGCTGGATATTTGAATCAAAAACAGATTGTTGGGACACTCAGCAGGTCTGGCAGCATCTATCGAGAAAGGAAAGTGGGTCAATGGAGGTCACAGAGCTAGGGGGGGAGCAAGGCCACTGAGGGCTTTGAAAGTGAGGAACAGGATCTTGAACTGTATCCTCTGTGTGATGGGAAGCAGTGGAGTCAGGCGAGGATGGGGGTGATAGGGTCGCGGAGCCTGATCTGGGAGAGGACACGGACTGCAAAGTTCTGAATGATCTGCAGCCTGTGGAGTCAGGGAGGCCAATAACAGAGTTTACGTAGTCGAGTCTGAATGTTATGAATGCATGATTGAGGGTCTCGAATACATAGGTAGTACGGGACATAGGTGCATGCAACTGCCAGGATAGTGGAAGTCAAATTAGATGGACCTTGGTCTTTCTTTCGTCTAGCATTTCTTATGTTCTTATGTTAAGGATGTTATGTTAAACCTTTACAAATCTCTGGTTAGGCCTA